CTTGCTTTGCAGCCTGAGGCATGTGGCTAGAACATGGTCACACTGGTCTTCCTTCACTTCATTGAGGCCAGGAACCATGTGATGTGTTTTATTTTTCACACCTAACAGCTGGTCAGATGTCCCACGGAGCAATCTAGAGAGGGTAGCATCTATAGTGCAAGCCTGGCGTGGAGACTTGGGGCCATTTGATTGAGTGCCAGACATGCTGCGGGGTGTTGACAGAGATGTGCAAGGCAGGCTAGGAGAGCCTCACCTCCTCATGCTCCTGTTCTGCCAGGCAAGAAATAGAACAGCATGTCGTGGAAGGCCAGGCAGCCAGGGCGATGCGCTGGAGCTGTGGATGCGAGGGGAAGTGGATGATCAGGCTGGATCACTCTATCTATTCTCACGGGTGGAGCAGGCTGTGCAGATGAGTGCAGGAGACGCTTCCAGACAGGCCGCGTCTGGGGGATGGTGCCTGTAGGGTTCTGTAAGGCAAGGCAGTGACTGGATTTTGTTCCAAGTGTTGAGGGAAGCTATCAGAGGGTTTTGAGCTGAAGAGTGGTGCTGTCTGATGTTTTATGGCGTCCTTGTTAAGAGTGGTTGGACAGTGGGCAAGTGTGGCTGCTTACTGGCCAGTTAGGGGGCCAGTGCTGCCGCGCAGGTGGCTTGGAACCCGGCACTGGTGGTGACAGAGGGAAGGGGTAGAGTCTGAATGTTATCTTGAAGGTGGCGCTAACAGAATTGGCCAACATGATGTGAGAAGAGTCCAGAATGACTCCTCAGTCTTTTGGCCTGGGCAGCTGATGGGTGGAGTTGCTATTTCTTTAAACACAGAAGTCTGTGTGAGCAGCAGGTTTCCTGCTGGAGAGGAGCTCAGGGTGAGTGTGCTGCCCTGGAGCTGCTGTCTGCATTGGTGGGAGTGCTGGGCGTGCTGGACACGCATTGGTGGGAGTGCTGGGCGTGCTGGACACGCAGGTGGATGTGGGAGACAGTCTCCCACCAGCAGCTTCTTGGGGTGGTGTGGGTGTCTGTGCTGTATCCCTGTCTTCCCAACTCCCAAAGCAGAAGCATCAGATTCCAGGGACCTCTAGCTTAGCCCCCTCCTCGTCTAGGACGGTCCACTTGATGCTCCAGCCTCGGGTCTCCTGGGCCCCTGAGCCTCCTCAGGGCTCCTCTGTGTGCCCAGCAAGCAACAGGGGCTGCCTTGGTAGCCACTAGTATCACTGCTCTCCTGTGGTGACAGAGATGGTGGAGATGGATCCTGAGCCCCTGCCCACTGTGGGGACAGTCCTGGTTGGAAATACGACAGGGCGCACCTGCAGTGCTGGAGCCGGACTCCAGTGCTGACAGGGCCACCCCTTCCCTTTAGTGGCCCTGGTAAGCCGGTCCCTCCTTCCCTGGGCTGCCCTGAGGACAGGCCTGGCCAGAAGCCTGAAAGTCAGTGCTTGCTCCAATCGGCATTTCCCATTTCCTCTGTGGTTTAGCTCCAGGCGGACAACGTGGGCCGAAGAGAGGAAGCTCAACACCGAGACCTTTGGGGTGTCAGGGAGGTTTCTTCGTGGCCGCAGTTCTCGGGGTGGATTCCGAGGAGGCAGGGGCAATGGGACCACCCGTCGCAACCCCACTTCCCACAGAGCTGGAACTGGCAGGGTGTGAGGATGTAGTCATAGGTGAGTGGACAAGTCTTCTGGATTTCTGGATGCTTTGGTGGGAGGGTGTAGGATCAGGTACACCTGGAGAGCTCAGGAGCGGGTGTGTTGGGAAGAACAGGCTCAGTTTCCCAGGAAGAGAGGCCCGGAGGTGTCAAAGCCAAACCGAGGGCCTGACCCTGTCTTACCCAGGGGGCTTGGCCAACTAAACCGGAATCTGTGGGAGCAGGACCCAGGCCCCAGCATCCTCCAAGTGAGATTGTAGGTGTGGAAGGTGAGGCCCTGCGGGTGTGGTGTGGCTGGGGGCTCGCCACCCGAGTGACGCCAGCGAGGGAGCTTGCTCCAACGCCAGTGTCTCGGCCCAGCTGGCCCTAAATAACAGAGGCTTTGTTTTTAACAAGATTCCAGTGCACTCGTGGGCACCTTAGGGTCTGCGCAGAGCGTCCCACTTACGGTGCCCGATGCCGACCCCACCCCAGGGCCTTGGGGTGGCCAGGTGGGCCCTGGAGGGACTAGGCCTTCTGCCACTAGCTGCCTCCCGTCCCCAGTGTGTTGTGTAGGATTCTGAGTGGGCTGCGAGAGGAACGGTGAAGCTGGCTTGACTCGGCGGGGGCGGGAGGGAGGTTGAGCGGCTCCCGCCGGCCAGCAGGGGCGGCAGCCCTGGCTTCTCCCAGCAGCTGTCTGACTCCCTGTCATCTCTCGCAGGCTCCTACTGAAGTGGCGCAGAAATGATTCTGTGTGTCAGGACACAAGGAAAACGCTGCACTTACAGGGAGACGTGGTCACTTTGTTTACAGAGTTTGGAAGATTCCCATACTGCTACTTATGTTTTGGACTTAACTTGGACACGGTCTGAGTCAGAACCACTTGTTTTGGGGAAGTATTCATGGGTAAACCTCTTTGAGGTGTCTTTACCTGTGTTTCCTTTAGTTGCGCATAGCCTAATCCTAAGGTTTTGATATTTTGCAAAACGGTTTCTATAGCAAAAGCTGAATCCTTACTTTGTGACTTTTTTTTTAATGACAGCTTTGACTTTTAAAACTGAAACCAAATCTCATTTGGCAGATGTGGCAGCCAAGTGCATCTCTATAACCCTGGCCCCTGGTGCTGCTGGCCTGGCACCCCCACTGCCAAGGGTAGGGTCTCAGGAGTCAGGCAGGGCCAGCACAGGTGTGGGGGGGGGGCGGGTGGGTGAAGGGCACGGAAGGGGTTGTGCTATGGATCATGTTGTATAAGTGAACCAGACCACCCTGATGACACCCACAGTAATGTTGTCAAGGTTGGGACTGGCCAGGAGTGGGTGGACTAGAAGCACTTGGGAGTAGTGGCCAGCGGCCCTAGACGCCAGCCATGGAGCTGCTGCAAAGAGCCTGGTGTCCATAAGCTTCCAGGTTGCAGTTGGAGCTTGGGATGAGCCCCTGTGGCGCCTTGGCCCTTCTGTGGTCCGTGCCAGGCTCTCACCTGTGCCAGTCAGTCATTGCTGGACTCTGGACACTTTGGTGTTCTCATCTACTTGGAAATGAGCCAGTCTTTTTTGCAAGGTCAGTCGACCAAGAGCATATTTCCCCTCTGTTGTACATCGTTCTTTTGTGTTTTTGTTTTAAAGGTGGGTGGAGGGAGGGCAGGGTCTACATTTGGGGTCTACATTTGTTGCATGAGTCGATGGGTCAGAACTTTAGTATACGCATGCGTCCTGAGTGACAGGTCATTTTGTTGAACATAAGCACCTTGGTAACTAAACCCTTCTAATAGCTCCAAAGGCTTTAGTTCTGTATTGATTAAGTTACTGTAAAAGCTTGGGTTTATTTTTGTAGGACTTCATGGCTAAGAATTAGAACATAGCAACGGGGCTCCTCTGTTGGAGTAATGTAAATTGTAACTATAAATAAACACGCAAACCTCTAAAACTTCCTTCTCTGGTGCCCTAAGAATCCTGTTGACCCTGCCGCCCAGGTCACCTCTGCGTCATGTGCAGGTCTCGAGCACACTTAGGTTGGAATCTGGGGAGACATGGGCCCCGTCAGGTGAGCGAACAAAGCGGCTGACCCAGCTGCTGGGGTGGAGTGCAGCTAGCAGACCCGGCTTCTCCCTGTGGGCCATCCTTCCGGGATGAATGGCTCTGCTCTCCAAACACTGGATACAAAGTCATTTTAAAAACCCAGTTCACAGACAATGCCTGTTTCATAAAACAGTGGCCCCTTTGCCACCTTCCTGCTGCCTCCAAGCTCCCCAGCTCAGCAGCACTCATGTTTTCAGGCACCATAGAGCACGTTAAGAGTCATGAGCGGCGCTGTACCCGGAACCACACAGAAAACAAAGACACGCCTGGTTCTAGGGTCAGAGCATCCCATTTCAGTCTAATGGGTTTCCAGGTGACCTTAAAAGTGGTCCTCAGAGAGGACAAGGAGACACATCAGCTGCATGAGTTCTCCTTGCAATATCTGCCTATGGCGCCATCAGGCTCCACAGCAGAACTGCCAGCGAGCAGCTCTCCAGTTCTTGGGGGGATAATGGATATCCTTGACTAGCAGAAAAATAAATCTTATGTTTCAGATACAGGTGGCCACAGCCCTCACCCAGCTAGATGACTTGGTGAAACAGGCATTGCCTGCCAGAGAATCTCAAGGTGGTCAGGTCATGGCGTGCCACCTGACTGACCTTGCTGTTAAACATGTGGTTTTGACATTTTTAAATGTTTTATACTAAACTCAAAAGTGTATCTGGGCCCCTTTAGTCTTTAGAAGACACATGCCCAAAACCAAGGATCAGAGCAAGTGGCACTGCAGGTGGCACAGCACAGCATGGGAGGGAAGGGGCAACCTGAGGACCCAGAAAGACCATGCTTTAAACCGCTGCTGGACTCAAAGCCAAAACACAGGAAAGGGCAGAAGAGCCACAACCAGTCTCCAGGAAAAAGGAGGCGGCAGATGCCAAGACGCAGGCTGTCAAAGCCAGGCATGCAAAGCTGCCTTTGAACAAAGCTGCTGCCTCTGTGGAATGAACTCCAGGCTACTTGTGTCTGTGTCCTTGACATTATACATTCATTAGGGGACTAGAATGAGTCCCCTACTTTCTGACGTAGACACAGAGTGACTTCTGTTGGTTTTTCTGTCTAAAAACCAATACAAGTCATTCTGTGTCTACAACAGAAACGGGTCTGCTGAAGGTTAGGTTTCTCTGCAGCACCCAGGGCAGCAGCTGCGAATTCCCAAGGGAGGAACCTCTGACTCACACTGGCTTGCTGTCTTAGCTCAGCCACAAGGGACAGAAAGTAAAGCTCAAACTTACAGCAGCTCAGGGTTGAAAAGGGCGACAGATGAGAGGACGACCATGACTGCACCTGAAGACACACATTCTCTTAAAAAAAAAAGGTTAAAAAATACAGAAGTTTATTGTAGGACACTCAGTGTGAATAAATGGAATGGAACACATCATTGAGACTCATCCATGATTGATCTGAATTTAAAAATTATTACAAGCAAAGACATTTTATTCATCATGATGCTTTCTTTTGTTTCTTCTTTTCGTTTTCTTCTTTTTCTTTTTCAATTTCAGCAACGTATTTCTCAATCTCTTCAGGATTTAAAATCTATTTTAAAAAAAAAGTGCACTCATGGTTACCTAAGCCACGCAAGGTGCCATGGAACCAGCACCGTCCTCTGGGGAGGGCAGCCACGCTTTGGCACTGCTGCTAGTCCAGCGTCTTTGGAGAGGGACCGCGAGGAAGATGAGAGGACGCTGCCTTGACCCAGACAAGCATTAAGCAGCAGCAGATCCCCTGGCAGGCAGCTGCTAAGTATGCCAAGAGAATATGCAGGGACCATCTAACCAGACAGGAAGATGGGAATCTTTGCTTTGACATAATGGGGAGCCTCGGAAAAACCTTTTCCTGATGTTAAAACCACAGGTGTTTCCTTCTGAATTGGTACTGCCCAGCTTTGATCATGGAGAAAACTCACAGACAAAGAAAGCAGAGAAGTGTGGCAATTACCTTGAGCGGCTGATCTCGCCTCATGACAGCAAGTTCAATGTTTTTGCCACCTGACTGAACCACCTTGAAGAGACAGAAGACGGGAGCATTTGCCACCTTTCTCTAGTTGAGACCAAAGCAGCTCTCAGGAGTACCTTAAATAGCTGTGTACCCAAACCCAGCACCCAGGAGCACTCTGCCTCCCAGGAACAGAGGGCCCAGCCCCAAAAACCTGTATCTTTGTCCTAAATGCATAGCCACTTTTGAAGCATATTTGGGATGCTTGCACGCCCTCCTGCTTCCCAGCACTGGGACGCTCTCCTGCACGGCAGCTCTGCTGGAGGCCCTCCCCTTGACACAGCAGTTACCACCAGGAAGCCTGATGCCCACACCTCGGGCTGGCCTTCCAGCGAGTCCCTCTCTGGTTTCATCTGCTAGCACTTCAAGGTATTGACAAAACCCAACCATATGCCCAGTTCTCTAATTCCCTGACTTTAGCAATCATTCAAGCCTCCAGAAGCCCTAGTGATGGTTGTGAGGAGAAGATTCCATAGCTGGACAGCTGGGTTCACATCCTGCCTCTGGTTCCCATTGCGCCCCTGCACAAGCCTCAGCTGCCCCGGCTGGATAAAGGTGCTAATGATCACACTTTGCATGGCTATTTCAAGAACACGGCAGGTAGGATACACCACGGACCAGAGCAGTGCCATCAAGCATTACTGGTGCATCCTGGCCACCTTCCTTGCTGCCCATCTGCCTATCAGTCACCACCACAATGTGGTATCTTCACCATCTTGCCTGGGTTCCAAGTGCAAACTTACTTCCAGGAGTGCCTTGATCACCAGCTTAATGGTCAGATCATCTGTTTCAATGGCTTCATCAGTATAGTTCTTCTCCAGGAACTCACGCACTGACTTGGCGCCTCGGCCTATGGCATTGGCCTAAAACACACACGTATGCTCTCAAGTGGCATAGGGCATGACAACCCAGGGCTGGCCCTGGAACATGGCTGTCCCATGTGGGCCACCCAGCAAGTGGTGGTGGCAGGAGGCAGGAAGCAGGCTGGAGTGCTGGACAGCAGCTCTGGACACAGACCCTGCCCTGTGGCCTCCTTGCGCAAAGAGCGCTTTAGAGTTGGTGCCGATTGTTACCAAGAATGGGATTATAGCTTTTATTCCATTATCAAGAGGCAATGGGAGATTTTTTGAGACGGAGTTTCGCTCTTGTTGCCCAGGCTGGAGTGCAGTGGTGTGATCTCGGCTCATTGCAACCTCTGCCTCCCAGGTTCAAGTGATTTCCTGCCTCAGCCTCCCGAGCAGCCAGGATTACGGGTGGGTGCCACCAATGCCAGCTTTTTTTTTTTTTTTTTCATATTTTTAGAAGAGATGGGGTTTTGCCACATTGGCCAGGCTGGTCTAGAATGCCTGACCTCAGGTGATCCACCTGCCTCAGCCTCCCAAAGTGCTGGGATTAGAGGCATCAGCCACCATGCCTGGCCGAAGATTTTAATTTATGTGGTCTACCCTTACGCCTTGCTGCCCTCGGATTTTCTTCCAAACAACGTTTAGTGACTGACTTACTCACTGATGCAGGCCCCACAGCAGGAAGCCCAGGACCTCCCACCCCCTCAAAAGCCTTTTTCTGGTAAGACTGTCCAAAGCCCCTTGGGTTTGTCAGGAACTCACCTTCCAGGCATGGTATGTGCCCGAGGGGTCAGTCTGATAGAGTCTAGGAGTGCCATCAAAGTCGAAACCCACAATGAGGGCAGAGATACCAAATGGCCTGCGCCCATTGCTCTGCGTGTAACGCTAGCAAGAAAAGAAACAGGTCAGTGCCATCAACCACGAAAATGCACGTGAGGGAACCACCACACTTAGTGAAGGTGTGAACATTCTCAATCATGCCGAAGCCCCTCTCAGGTTATCAGTAGTTCAGATGATACATTAGCCAATAGCTTTCAACATCCTTTTCTGCATTTCATTCCTAGACAGACTCACCTAGAACCAGAATTGTACCATGCAGCACAACTCAGATTACTGGAAGTTATTTTGCCAAGTAGACATGCATTCTGCTTACTTGCTGTTTTTTTTTTTTTTTTTTTTGAGACAGAGTCTTGCTCTGTTGCTGCACTAGAATGCAGTGGCTCACTGCAACCTCCACCTCCTGGGTACAAACAATTCCCCTGCCGCAGCCTCCGCAGCAACTGGGACTACAGGCCTGCACCACCACACCTGACTCTTTTTTTTTTTTTTTTTTTTGTATTTTAGTAGAGATGGGGTTTCACCATGTTGGCCAGGACGGTCTCAATCCAACCTTGTGATCCATCTGCCTTGGATTACAGATGTGAGTGCTTGGATTACAGGTGTGAGCCACCGTGCCCAGCCTACATGCTGGTTTTGAGACTAATGGCATTTCCTCATAGGGTGGCTTCCAGCCCCCTTCAACTGCTTGGTGACTGGTCATTCAGAATGGCAAGACAAAAACCACCACTTCCCTCCAGACACAGGAAATTAGAATGTCCCATGTCAGGAGCTGAGAAGAGAACGCTGTCACTCAAATTGGTGAGTTCGGTCAAGTTACACTGTGCGTTCATGCCCTGGAATGAATCTGTTTTCTGATTTGCGTCAAGTGACAGGCCGGACACTCCATGGCAGAGCAGGGACTGCCCTGCCGCCAGAGGTGAGCATGCGATCGGGAGGTGCCCACCTGCTTCAGACTGGCGATGTAGCGGGTGATGTACTCCACAGTGACCGGGTCCTCCACGGTCAGCCGGTGGCTCTGGCACTCCACCCGGGCCCTGTTGATGACTATCCTCGCATCAGCGGTGAGGCCTGCAAGGACAGCAGAGAAGCTTCTGTGGACACAGCTCAAACTACAGGGCCAGGGGAGGGACACAACACAGCATTTAACCTTCCACAGATCCCCAAACTGGCGGCAAGGCTATTCTGAGTGACAATCAGCCCCTGGGAACTTCTAGGAAACTGGGTACAGATGCTTCTCGATGTACAGGGGGGCAGTATTCCGCTAAACTTGTCGTAAGTTGAAAATACCTGGCTGAAAATGCATTGGCTACCCCATAAACCCACTGTAAATAAAACACTGTAGGCTGTTGTACAGAATCTGGATTTTATAAAAAATTGTAGGTCGATCCATCCTAAGTCAGGGAGTGTCTATGAAGAATTGCGTGCCTTGGACCATACTTAAACACGGTACCCGAGTCCTCCTGGGAATCTTAGAAACTGACTGAATCCCTAATTACAGGAATTGAGATTGGTCTGCCGAAGGAAGAAATGAGCGAGACCGAAACAGTGCCGAGGAGATGCCGAGGCAGGGCCGGAGCCCAGCACTGCAGTCCTCCTCACTGCTGGGATAGAGGACATGGTCCTGCCCTCTCCACGCCTCCAGTCCAGCCTTCTTCTTGATTGTAACTGACCGATACAGAAAAATAACACTGGAGGTAAAATTCCACAGCAGCCAGAGTGTTTTCATCCATTTAGCCATTTCTGTTTCACCCGCTGTGGCGGAGAGGCCACCAAAGAAACTGGCCAACTTAAAAGTCCAAATGCATTGTTTTTTTTGAGATGGGAGTCTCGCTCTGTTGCCCAGGCTGGAGTGCGGTGGTGTGATCTTGGCTCAATGCAACCCCTGCCTCCCGAGTTCAAGAGATTCTCCTGCCTCAGCCTCCTGAGTAGCTGGGGTTATAGGTGTGTGCCACCACGTCCAGTTAAATTTTTCTGTTTTCAATAGAGACGGGGTTTCACCATGTTGGTCAGCCTAGGCTGGTCGTCTCAAACTCCTGATCTTGTGATCCACCCGCCTCAGCCTCCCCAAGTGCTGTGATTACAGGTGTGAGCCACAGTCTTGGCCCAAATCCATTTATTTTCAATGATTTTCATTTACTCCGTTTATATGACTAACAATAGCCCACAGACCCAAGTTAATCTCCAAAGCCCTGTTCTTCTAGAGAGTAAGACAGCACCCCCGACCCCGACTCATACCTGCAAAGGCCATGCAGACATTGTCATCCAAAGCGCAGATCTTCCGCACTGTTCTTTCATCCTGCAGTTTGGCCACTGACTTCTTCTCCACACCAAGAACAACAATGTCTCTTCCTCGAACACCAACCTTTAATTAAGATCCACAAACCCGGTAAGAAAGCAATATGAGTGCTTGGTGCAGCGGCTCACGCCTGTAATCCCAGCACTTTGAGAGACTGAGGTGAGTGGATGACTTGAGTTCAGGAATTCAAGACCAGCACGGACAACATGGCAAACCCCGTCTCTACAAAAAGTACAAAACTTAGCCAGGCGTGGTGGCTCAAGCCTGTAGTCCCAGCTCCTCTGGAGGCTGATGGGAGGATCACCAGAGCCTGGGAGCTGGAGGCTGCAGTGAGCTGTGATGGCTGGGAGACAGCAAGACCCTGACTCCTCACCCCCACCCCACCCTCCCAAAAAGTGACATGGTTCTACTGCCAGGCAGTGAGCACTAGAAGCAGATCTGAACCTGGGTCATGTGGCAACGTACTCTGGGCAGCAGCCCCACTGGAAGGTGTGCTCATCACCCACACCCCTTTCTCCTCCACTGTCTGTCACTGTGGCTGGCAGCACATCCTGCAAACCCAGGGGCATTCATCTACTGCTGGTAGAGCTAGCCCGTGTGTGCTCACCTAGGTGGCCAACCTGTGCCTTTAAAATACTGAGACGTAATTTTAGTTACAACATAGCTAGTAATCAACTGCTATATAAATCAGCATGTGTTTCATTTCAACCCAGTGAATCAAACAGTCCCATGCAAAGCCTGAAAGCTTGAGACTTTCACATTCCAATCTGGTGCTCTGATGGCAGTGTTTCTGTAATTGTGGAATTAAGGCACACTGCACTGTTTCTCGCCCTATGGCATACTGAAGTGACACCCGTGGGAAAAGGCCTGATTTGCTATCAGTGGACAAGGTGTGAACTGCTACCCGAAATTATTTACGGCTGATACTAGAGAAGGATGTAGCTGTTATTAAAAGCGTGGACAATCACTGACAAAGGAAACCATCACTGGGATAAACAGCGCCTCCCGGTTCAGAGCAGGGCTCCTCCTGCTCAGCTCCGTGAGCACCTGGGCAGGCTGATCTCGCTGTGCCTGCCGCCCTGAGGGGGGAGAGGGGGACGTTCAACAGTGTCCCTGGCCTCTACCCGTCAAATGCCAGGAGCACCTCTGCAAAGCCTTGGGCCAATGGAAAAGTCTCTACACACTGCCAGTGGCCCCAAGGGCACAAAACCATCCCTGGCTGAAAAGTACTGGTCTGAAGTGCTTTCGGTTTTCTGGGAGCTTTTTCGGGTAGACTCACTTGACCTTCGAACTGACCCGGAAGGCCCAGAGAAGCTACATGGGTTCGTTAAAGCCAGCTGCGGCAAGCTGGCGGGGGTGGCAGAATTGGGGTTAGGGGCAGGGGTCAGCTGACTCCTCCTAGTGCTCTTTAAGCTGTATTAGATCACCTGAGTAATACCGGGCCTTCATTTCGAAACAAAGATTCAGAAAATGAAAACACTTCAAAATTTACAGAACTGTGTGCTGCTTTCTCTGCCTGCTCAAACCCCTGAATACCAGATAAAAGAAAAACGATCTCACAGCCTGACCAATAAAACCGACACGTCTTGATATTACGAATTTAAGTTTCAAAAAATGTCACTAAGGTCACTGTACACGAGCCCTCGTCAAAAAGAGACGGCCGGCCGCGCTCAGACCAGTCCCGACCCAGGCGGCTGCAGCCGGGCCCCGCGGAGGGCTCCTTCCGGCGGGGCGCGGAGACCCGGAAGGCGCCCGCCCCCGGCCCGGCCGGCGAGCCGCTTTGTTTCCGAAGCCCACCGGTACTTAAGAGGACAAGTGCTGCCCTGGAGCGAGCGGGGAACGGGGACCTGGCTGGATAGCTCACTCCCCAGCCAACAGCCGCGTGAACAGACCCCCAGAGGGCGCAGGCCGACCCCCCGCGCTCCGCGGCCTGGATGGAGCTGCCCTCGCTCGGCCTCTGCTCGCCAGGGCGGCAGCGCGACCCACGCGCCAGGCCCGGGCCAGGGGTGCCCAAAATGGCGTCGCCACGGCCCCGCGCGCCCGGGGACCCACGCGAGGCGCTGGGTGGGGGTAACAGGCGCCTGCGGCTCACACGCCAAACGCCGCCTCGTGCGGGCACTCGTGGAGACCGGCAGCGGGGCCCGCGCTCAACAGCAGCCCCGGTCGCTCGCGCCAGTGCCCCGCCTTCGGGCGCCCACAGCTCCGCGCCCGGCCCCGGCCCCGGCCCCGGCCCTCTCCCGGCTCCCCGACCCCACTTCCGCCCGCGTCCCCGGCCTGCGCAGGCCCCGGCGCCTCACCGCGGTCGAACCCTTTTTGACGGCCTCCTGCGCGTACTCCACTTGGAAGAGGTGGCCGTCGGGCGAGAAGACGGTGATGGCGCGGTCGTAGCTCATGCCGGCGGGGCGGCGGCCGAGCACCTTCCACCGCGGCTCTCAAAAGCGCACACTCACGGCCCGCGCGCGCCCGCGACTCCCGGCGCCACCACGCCCGCCCCCGCCCTCGGCGCCGTGACCTGCGCGGCCAGCGTCGGGCGGCGTCAGGAGGCGTCGGGCGGCGTCAGGCGGCGTCCCACGGACGTGCGGGCGCGCGCCGGGGCGGGGCGGGGCCGGGCGGAACCACCGGTGGCCGGGGGTGGGAGGCGGTGCGCCGAGGAGGGTCGAGCGCGGGTCTCGAGGGGCCCGCCGGAGGCCACCGCTCAGCACTGGACCGCCGGCCCTTCTGCAGGGCGGCGCTGCGGCGCGGCGGGCCCGGAGGCGGGGCGACGGCGGCGGCGAGGACGAGCCCAGGACGCGGCGCCCCCCGCGCCCCCGCCCCCTGCCCCCCGCCGCGACTGCGGATAATGAGCGCCTCGGGCCGCCGAGCGCAGCCGGAGTATCCACCCCGATGACCACGGGCTGAGCCCCGCGCCGCCACCATGTCCGTGGCCTTCGCGTCCGCCCGGCCAAGAGGCAAAGGGGAGGTCACACAGCAAACCATCCAGAAGGTGGGCCGGGCCGGGCCGGCGGCGCGGGGCGGCAGGGCTGCGGGCGGGCGCGCGCGGGGCCCGGGCGCGGGCAGCCGGCAGGCGCGGGGCGCGAACAAAGCCGGGGCGCAGCCGGGCAGCTGAGAGCCCCGACGGCGGCCCCGTGCCCGTTCCCGCGCCCCACGCCTGCGCGCTGGCGGGCACCCGGCCGTGCGGGGGACGCTCCCCGGAGAGCCTGCGCCAACTTTGTTGGGGCGTGCGGGTCCCTCAGGCCGGGGCGCGGGGCGGCGGGGGCCGGCAGGACGCCGGAAGGTGCCGGCCTCTGAGCGCGCTGTCCCCGGAGTCCGCGGCGCGCTCTGGGAACCGTTCTGGGCCGTACCCGGCGCACGGGGATTCGTCTTCGTGGGCCGGGCGAGGGCTGGTCGCGCTTTTCTGCCAGCCTTGGTGGCGAAGGCGACGGCCGGCGGCACTCGCTGTCTGCGCTCAGCTTGGCAAGTGGAGAGGGGCTCGGGCCGGGTTCGGGGCGCACAGAGACGGCGGGAAACGCGGCCGGCGCAGCCGCTCCTGCCGCTGGAGCGAGGCTCAGACGCTGGAGGCACAGAGGGACGCGTCCCGATGCCCAGTTTGGGACCGTTCGGCCGCCGTTCCGCAGCCCGGCCCCGTAGGGAGCGCACCGCCAGCCTGTATCCTGGCGGCCACGCTGGGTTTCAGCGTGACAGCCTCGCCCGCAGCCTCACCTAACAAACTTGACTGATTTGCTCCACAACCTTTTCTCACTCCTTAAGTTCGGCCTTGTGGTTTTCTGGAGACAGCGTTTTCATGGGTTTAGGACACTGTTATCTCAAGCCCTAAGTTTTGAAAGTGAGACTTTTTATTTTCTGTTGTTCTGTAGAAGAGAAATTCGGAAGAAAATCAGCATTAGCCATTCCTGTTTCCGTCGTCACCACATCTTTTGGAGTGATAGTGGGATTTTTTCTCTAAACTCTGACTGGTCTTCATCCTGGTGGGATTGCAGGGATAAACAGGGGGTTCCTAGGATCCAGGAGCCGCTTATCTCCTTGCAGGGGTTCACCTTGACCTTCACTGATGCTCTTATTCCTTGATGACGTACCAGTCTCCTGTGGAAATTGTCCTAAATTTATCGCCTATTTTGAGACTACCCTTGCTGTGGCTAGTTTTAGAAATTTATGGTCTTAATAAATGAGAGCCTTGGCCAACTCTGAACAGGACGGATTATTTAAGAACAGCCGAAACACATTTACAAGTGTGGCATTTTAATTTACTTAGTAAACACTAAAATGTAGTGCTTACTGTATCCAAGACACTGTTACAGGGGTTTTATAAATCTTAATTCATCTGATTTTTTGTGGAAGCTACTGGCAGCCCATTTGATAGCTAAGGACGCTGAGTCCTGGGGAGGCTGTGCCTTGCCAGTAAGTGGATGCTGAAGCCTAGGGGGGTGAAGTGCCTTGCTGGTAAGTGGCACAGCGCAGCACAGCCAGGCATTGAACGCAGACTATGGTGCCAGGGTCTGCTGTCGGTCTTGGTCTGGGAACACGTGGCCAGGCAGAGGTCAGGCTCCAGGCTCAGAGGCCCCTGGCAGAACCCACACTGTCTCCTGGCAGAGGTCAGGCTCCCGGCTCAGGCCCCTGGAGGAACCCACACTGTCTCCCGGCACTCTGGTCTCTGGGCTCAGAGGCCTCTGGTGGAACCCATGCTGTCTCCAGGCAGAGGTCAGGCTCCAGGCTCAGGCCCCTGGCAGAACCCACGCTGTCTCCAGGCTCAGAGGCCCCTGGCAGAACCCACGCTGTCTCCTGTCACTCTGGTCTCCAGGCTCAGAGGCCCCTGGCGGAACCCACGCTGTCTCCTGGCAGAGGTCAGGCTCCAGGCTCAGAGGCCCCTGGCGGAACCCACGCTGTCTCCTGGCACTCTGGGTTTTTGGAGCCTAACAGTCATTTCTCCAGAGGCTGCCTTTGGCTCCAACAGTCATCCAGTTATTTGTACTTCACACACATTTCCATTAAAGCTCCCTGAACTCCCCAGGTAAAAGTGTGGTTTGGGGTACAGCCCCAAACCTCAGATGTAAGAAGTGCACCTGTGGACTGCGCATCCCGGGGCAGAGATTGGCTGCTGACCATTGGAAATGGGTCTTCAGGTTAGGCTGCTGGTTTGGCCTGGCAGGGCCAGCAGTCTGCATATTAGGCTTGGTGTTTTGACGTGAATATATGTACCCAGGGATCTTTTACTGAGAGGTGTGAGAAGGGTGTGAGAGGTGCGTATTCTGTGCCTACAACGTGTGCTGTGTCCACACTGTGTGCTAATAGTCTCATGCTGAGAGTATTAGGAGAAGCCAGGGACTCCTCAGAAGCCGGCTTGGTAGTGAAGGGAAGGAAATACACAAGTCATCCTTGCAGCATTACATGTGGGCCGGGTTCTTCCAGGCCAACTTCTACTCAGCCTTCAAAGCCTCACGCACGTGTTCCATCTGTCATGCTCCCTTGGCAGTCCCGTGGCCTGTGGAGCACTTGCTTGGGCTCCTGAGTTTAGCCGTGTGGCTGGTTTATTTTTCACTGATCCCAGCCTCGCGTGGCGCCTGGGCAGAGTGCTGAGTGCACACCTGCGCGTCTGTGACGCTCGTTCCATCAGTGGAAGTGTTAGCGTCCTGTGACTTCCTTGACACATTACCACAACGCCGCTGGCTTAGAACGACACACATGGATTCCCGCATGGCTCTGGAGACCACAGGTCCGAAGTCCGGCTGTCAGCGCCTGCTCTCTTGGCTTCTGGTGGCTGCGGCAGCCCTCGGTGTTCTCCAGCTTGTAGGTGCGCCCGGCAGATCTCTGCTTTTTCTTCATGTGGCATTCTCTCTGTGTGTCTGTATCTCAGTTTCCTCCTCCTTATAAGGACTCCAGTCATCGGTTTTAGGGCCCACCTTAATCCAGCGTGACCCCATCTTCACTTGATTGCGTTTGCTAATAGCCTGTTTCCAGTACTTCCCCTGTGCAGGCACCGGGGTCAGGCCGCAGTTCAGCCTACAAGGGTGCATTGTGGTGAGAGCTGTCCCAGTGAAGGAGAACCATCAGGCAGAGGCACGGAGCTGTAGGGAGCTTCAGGGAAGTCACAAGGGTCCCGAGCCTGGCCTGCATGGAGCAGGTACTGGGGGACCCACAGTGGAAGGCCAGGGAGTGCTGGGCTTTTGGGGAGGGTGCCTGGTGGTGACCAGGCGGTGGTACGTGGGTGAGACAGTCAGACCGCACTGTGGTGAGCAGCACAGGGGCATGACTGTGCTGGGGACCGTGAGGTGGGGCTGGGCCGTGGTCCCTGGGCCTTGCTGGCTATGCTCCTGACACCGCTGTTGGGGCTGGGGCTGCAGTGGTCACTATGGACCACGTGGCCAGGCTTGGAGGGGACCCCTGGGTGGCTCCTTGCTGCTTGACACACAATAATTGCTCAATAAATGTGTTACTGTTTCTGCTGGTATTGGTTTTCTCATTGGTTTCCTTGACTGATAGCAATGGTGTCTGCCCGTCTGCTGGGTGTCTGGCTCCTCAGCTCCTGTTTCCGGGCAGGGTTGGGGTAAAGCTCTGAGGAAACGGGACAGAGCTGAGAGGAGGTGGGCCCCTGAGACTGTCTGCTGGGCAGATTTGGTGTGGGAAGACAAGACTTTTGTGGGGTGGGTAGGTGCTGCGCCCAGGGTCCGAGAGTCAGGGAGTGGTCGACCCTGGACGGCCCTACCCCATGTCCTTGGTACCCAGGTGAAGGGGTGTGGCATGGGCAAGGGGTGCACTTGCAGGTGAGGTGGGCTGCAGAGGATGGGGTGCACGTGGGGCAGGCAGCAAGCACCCTGTGCGCCCCCTCAGACCTGGAACTTGCTGTCTGAAGGAACGTGAGCTAATTTGGCTAGGAATGTTTGTGAGGTCAGAGCTGTACTGTGACTGAATGGCTTGGGGACAGCGAGCCTCCCTTGGACGTGACTGTTTCACAGTGTTCTTCCTGTGATCAGAGGCTCCCACACCCGAGAATGGGAGCACGTGGGCCTGTCTTTACATTCCCAGGGTAGGGGAGGGGGCGGGGTGTAAAGACAGCTCATTCCAGTGCCTGGTCTCCGCCCTGGGGAGGGACCCCATAGCCGCAGGCCTTGCTGGCTCCTGTCAGGTGAGGGAGCCACTCTGCAAGGCCCTTGAACCTGAGCGCTGTGGGGAAGTGTGCAGGAGAAAGGCATTCTCCTGGAGGGAGCAGCCACTGCCTGGCCTCTGTCCCCGCTGCCTGTGAAGACTGACCGTGCCCCCTCTTGCTGTGCCCTCCTGAAGGTGTTCTCCCTGCCCCCACCAGCCTGGAGGGCAAGGATGCATTTGGATAGAGACACAGTGCCTGCCCACTGCCCTTTACCTCTGGCCTTTCCAAGGCTGGTGGGTCTCCAGAGTCTGTCTGCCGTGCAGTCACTGAGTGTGGAGTTTGGAGGCAGCAGGCCAAGGCAGCCCGTCTTGCTGAGGTGGCGCTCACTAACCAGCCGTCCCTTGGGTGCTCTCCTCGAGGCCCTGGCCCTTTGCGTGGTCTGTTCCCCGGGCCGTTGGGTTGGGGCCTGGGCACCTGCCTCTGTGTGCTTGGAGTTGGAGGACAGATTTCCTGGAATACCCGGGCTGCAGGTGATGGAGTGTCAAGCCTGCCCCCGGTGGATGTAGGAATAAAGGGTGGATGTCACCACCACAGGCCCTGTGTGCTGAGCGGCTAGCAGGTCGAGCAGCTAGCGGGCGGCACAGTGAGTCCTGTGGGGCCTGGAAAGAGGAAGTGCAGGTCTTCTGCGTGGTCCAGGAAGGCACCTGCACCGCCTCCCCTGCCGTGTGATGCAAGAGGAATCCAAAGGGTTGGGAGAGGGTGCGTGGGCGATGGTGGGGAGAGGGCTCGCGTGACGCTGGCCCCGATTCCATCGGCCTCCGCAGTCTCTGTGCAGCACAGGGATGGCAATGGCCTGTGTCTGTCCTTACACTGGAAGTAGATGTGGGATGCAGGCTGGTCCTCAGTTGTACCGGGATGAGGATGGAGGCCAATGTTGCTGCAGGAGGGCAGGGTGGGGCAGGTCAGGATGACATTCTCATCCTGCTGATGGTGGCGCGTGCTTTGCCTCTCTGTGCCCCAGTTTCCTTGTCTTTAGGAAGAGGACAGGGCTGTGGCCTCCCTCTAGCCTGTGTGTGGGGGTAAGGCAGTGCCTGGCAGCCTTGTAATTGTTCAGCTTCGGCCTTTGATGGGACACTCAGCCAGCAAGGAGCAGCTGGAATTTATCTGTGGCCTTCGGAAAGGGAGGTGAGGACCACATTCCAAACAGCGGGAAACCATTGCAAGTTCAGGGTCGTGTCAAAAAGGAAAGATAGTTGTCAGTACGTGGACGAGGCGCATACAAGCGTCGCATATTTTTAGTACAATAAGTTTGTCTTTCTTCAGCTTGGGAATTGTCAGAAGCAAAATGATTTTGTTGTGCTGTGCTGTGAAACGCCCCAGAGCAGCATGAGGCGGGAAGTGGCCACCACACGTGCAGATGCGGCCGCCGTTGTGTCTGTATTACGCATGTCTTTGCATGTTCTAGAGTCTTTGAGAATTGCACACACACGTCAGGCACACAGTGGTGGAGCCACGCACGAGGCAGGAGCCAGCTCCTCCCAAGGAGACTGCATATGTGTCATGTGGGGGCCCTTCTGAGACCCACACACCGACCTCACCTATTCCTCAGCGGGGCGAATGTTCCGAGGGGTTTCCCTGACTTCAAGTAGTGGAGTCTGTAGTGCGGCTTGCTGACCTCGGGCAGGGACAGAGCAGCTCAGGCTGGGCTCGCTGGGAAGTGCTGATGCAGCAGCGATGTCTGCTCTCAGAACAGGAGTGGCAGGTGCTAGCACAGAGACCATCGCTGGCTTCGCCACCTCGTGATGCTTAACCAGGCTCCAGTTAGCCAGGGCTGCCCCCTCACACCCAGGAGGACTCCTAGGAATTGATCCTGCGTCTGTGTCCGCGCCCTGGCCTGAGTGTGACTCAGTGGCAGAAGATGGGGAACAGTTTAAATGTCTGTCCATGGACACTGAGTACTATGTTTTGTCCATGTTTTATGGAATTCTCTAAAGCATAGGAAATGTTCAAGGTGGGTTTTTTTTTTTAGACAGAGTCTTGCTCTTTTGGCCAGGCTAAAGTGCAGTGATGTGATCACAGCTCATGCAGCTTTATCCTCCTGGGCTCAGGGGACAGGTGGGGTCTTCATGTGCTGATAGAGGGCAGTCTTTGAGATATTTGGGAGGAAAGGGACTGTGTGGAGTAGTGAAAGTGGAATGTGTCAGCTGTGTGCAGGGTGGGGAGGGGAGTGCACAGGTTCCATGCGAGATGCTTCTAGAAGGAGCAGAGCTGGCCTCTGGGTAGGAGGAGCCAGGGCTTCCTCCTACAGAATTAAAAGGTTGCAAAGTCTTTGTAATTAGCCAGGACAATCTCAAGGACACTGGAGGTCTTTCTGCCCATTGTGGGGTGAGCTGGCCCCCGGCAGTGAGCCTCAGAGCCCCAGGCCCTCTCTGTCCGGCTCTCAGGGCTCCACACAAGTTGTCACTGGGGAGAGACAGTTCTGCTCTGAGAGCGCCTCACCCAGAGTTTTGCCTGGCAGCCCCAGCCCTTCCCCTACTCTCTGTGGCCTCTGGGACCCCAGTCGCTCCCCATCCCCTGTTCTCCTCACTCCCTCACCTACCCAGTCAGGACCCCACAGTGGGGCTTCGGCAGCCCCAGGCCCCATCCCTGGTGCCTGGCTGTGTCCTGGACTCTCCAAGCCGAGCCCCATGTCCCCCATCAGTGCCTGCCTGCCAAACCCAGTTTCTCTGGTCACCTGCGTCCTTGATCACCATGGTCGCAGCTTCTGTGCCTCTTGGGTTGGTCTCCCTGTGGATGCTGGGCTTGGCCCTGGCATCAGCCAGGCTGACAGATACACGTTGGGGCTCCCCTTGGAGCCTGAGACCACAGGGATGAGCACACAGAGAGGGAGTGGGAGGCCTGGGTGTCCCAGCCGCTTCAGCGGTGAGCCCAGCCAAGCCCAGCAGAAGACCCAGCCAGCCCAGAATCGTGAGAACTGAGCAATCACGTCTCAGCCACACGGCTCTGGCAGGTTTGTTGTGCATTGGGCAACGAATGTGACCGGCCACATTGTGGTCTTGGTCCAGCCAGCCTCTGCAGTGAGCACAGGCTTCGGTTGAGAAAGTCACCCCCACTCTGGGCACAGGACTCCTGTTCCTGCAGGGGCCCCCATTCCCCTCTTCTCCAGCCTTCTGTGTCTGTGTTGATGAAAGTCTCTGAGACGAGCATTCACTCATGGAATCATCTACAAAGTGATCTTAAAGAGGCCTGAAGTGAGTCTGGCTTGCTGGGCCTGGTGATGAGCCCACCTGAGTCTCCTCTCTGGGTGTGTGCCTCTAACACCATGCTGAACAAGGAAACCGCTCACTCAGCCTGGAGCATTGAAGATCTTCTGTATTTGCTGCTGTCTTCTGCAAACACTGTTTTCCAGCTTCCTGACGTGCACTCGTGTGCTTTTCTGTATGGTGAGACATAGCTCTCCCCACCCTTTCTGGGGAGGCTGAGTTTCTGCAGGTTCAGATTCTCTATGCACCCGGAGAGGAGACTCAGGTGGGCCCATCACCAGCCCCAGCAATCCAGACTCACTTCAGGCCTCTTTAAGATCACTTTGCAGACCGATACTGTGAGTAAATGCTTGTCTTAGAGGTTTTCATAAACAGACAAGTAAGAAACGAAATCGACAAGCTCCAGAGCAGGGGCCACAGCAGCCTGTCCGTGCATTTCCCTCCCATTGGGGTCTTTTGCTTTGGATTTTATGCTCAGCAAAGCCATGGGTGCACATCAGGAGTCAGGAAACGCCGTGGGCATGTGTGTTAGTCATTCACACTGCTGTGAAGATATCCCTTAGACTGGTTAATTCATAAAGGAAAGAGGCTTCATTGACTCAAGAGTTCTGCAGGGCTGGGGAGGCCCCAGGAAACTTAGAATCATGGCAGAAGGGGAAGCAAGGGACCTTCTTCACAAGGTGGAGGGAATGAGAAGCAGAAGCAGGGGAAATGCCAGGCGCTTATAAAACCATCGGATCTTGGGAGAACTCACCGCTGTCATGAGAACCGTATCAGGGAAACTGCTCCCCGTTATCCATCCAATTGCTTCCCACGGGTTCTTCCCACGACACGTGGGGTTGTGGGAACTGCAATTCAAGGTGGGATTTGGGTGAGGACACAGCCTGACCATATCAGGGTCACCAGATAACGTCTGCGCCCCCACACTTGGATCCGTCAGAGTGGCTTTCTCTGGGGTTGGCTCTCCTCTGCTGTCGACGTGGTGGTGATGAACGCCTTGCTTGCTGCTGAGCTGTGCGGGGTCGTGGGACTGCTTTTCCCGCCTGGCTTTGGTTTTCCCTGGAGTTGCTGTTTCTCTTTTTGACCGTCTGTTACTAGCGTGACCCCTCCTTGGCTCGGTTACTCTTTCGGGTGTTGGGTCTCAGGGCTGCTTTCCTTGGGCCTCCCTCCACTAACCGGATTCCTTTGGCTTCTCTTGGGTTGGGTCTCGGATCTTCTCCCCCTGGGATTTGCTCCCTTGGTTTGGGGAGGAGGCGCATCATTGCACGGGTGTTTGGGATGTGCCCCTTTAAGCAGAATTCCCGCACTCCGTTCACCTGACTGCACGCATGTGAACGCCACCTCGTTTGCTGTCCCCTCCGCGCTCTGTCCCGTGGACACACGTCACTTCTTCCTGAGCAGTTTGAGAATGAGTTGCAGAGCTGGTGCTCCTCTACTCCCAGATCCTTGAGCGTGACGTTGCTGCCGACAAGGCCCTGACACTCACTGTACAAAGGTTGAAATGGGGGCGGTGACGCGGCAGCAGCTGCCGTCTGAGCTGACTCACGCTGACTTCCCGGTGGTCCCAGTAATGGCCTTTGAGGACATCACGAAGGATTGTGGAAGGACCCCGGGACCGTGTCTGTCAAGTCTCCTGGTTGAGAACCGTCTGTCCGTCTGCCTCGTCTCTGATGACGCTGACGTCTTTGAAGAATGCTGGCGCGTCATGGCGTGCCCTCAGTTTGGGTACGAGGTACGTTTTCCTAACTTGCAGGTGCAAAAGTGCGTCCATTCTCCTTTCACGCCTGGTTGGGGTTTCGGCTGACTAGACTTTCTGCACAGAAGTCTCCCTCAGGATCAGACCACAGCCCTTCCAGAAGCTTCTGCAGCAAGTTCATCTCTCCTCCAGAGCCTCCTCAGGCCCGGCCATCGGTCTCTCAGAGGTCACCATTGGGCCTGAGTCATCTCACCTTGGGGCCTTTCTTGGTGTTGGGCACAGCTCCTTCAGAAGTCTCTGTGGGGTCTTCACCCCTGCCCTCCCGTGTCCCGTGTGGGAGGCCCCGTGCCATCGGAAGTCACTGTCCTCACGGTGGCCCACGCCTCTCACTTGGCGATTTTTCTGTCTTCTCGGTGGATCTGTCCTGCTTTCTGGGACCCTTCAACTTCATTTCCCACCCCACTGTTGAGTTGTGTTTTGGCTCACACGGTTTTCCCCTGCACAGCTCTTCTCCCTCTGTGGTTTCTAACCAGCATCATCTTTTTCAGGGCTCCAGTGACCTGTGTCACTGCACTGGCCAACTTCATGAGGATATGACAAATAGGTTTTGTCAGATTTTTTTTTTTTTTAAATTTTAGGCCGGGTGCAATGGCTCATGCCTGTAACGAGCACTTGGGGAGGCATAGGTGGGTGGATCACTTGAGTCTAGGAGTTTGAGACCAGCCTGGGCAACACAGGGAGACCCCCTCTCTACAAACAAAAAAAAGCATTTAGCCAGGTATGGTGGCACGCGCCTATAGTCTCAGCTACTCGGGAGGCAGAGGTAGGAGGATCACTTGAGCCTGACAGGCGGAGGTTACAGTGAGCCAAGATTGCGCCACCCCGTTCCAGCCTGGGTGACAGAACAAGATGCTATCTCAGAAGAAAAGCAAATAGAAAAAAGTTTCCATCTTGCATAATCTTCATCTCTGGATTTTGGCCTCTGTGGCTGGTTTTGGCCTTTGTCTCTCAAATGTCAGGCTCCCGTGACAGGCAGGTGCCGCACAGCTGTGGCTTCTGGAGACAGGAGGCCGGGGTGCTGCCTGGTGTCCTCAGGCAGGCGTGGGGCCTGTGATTTGCTCTCAGGTGCTCATTCCCTTCCGTGCCTGTGCGTTTTTCCTCTGGGCTGGTCACTTTCCTGGAGATGCCCCTCCTCCAACCCTCATCTGCCAGGGTCCGGGCAACCCTGAAAGGTGCTGGGATCTGAACATTCCTGAGCCTTCTGGGGCTTCACAGTGCAGCCTGGCTCAGGCCAGGCACCCTGGGGGGCCTGAGGGCCCTGATTCGGCTGTCACTCATCCTTGTGCTTTTCAGCTTCCAAACACCTTCCGCTGCCGAGACGTGCCCTGCCCTCTCTGTCCTTAGAAGGCCACACTGGTTCCATCCTTGGCCACTGGCTGGGGCCAGGGGCTTGGGGCATCAGTCTGTCACCTTTGGTTCTGCCTGTCCTGCCCTTTTTTAAATGTATATGTGTTTAACATACATGAGAAAGTTCTCTGTATCTAGCTTTCTAAAAACCCACACCGATGCCATGTTTCCTCACGGGTGCTTGAACTCCGTGGCACTGCCCTGGCTGGTGCACATGCGTGGGGCTCTGCTTAGTGAAGTCGGGTGGCTTGCGCCCCCGACCCATCACGACGCAGTGCTGGGAGTCAAGCTAAAAGGCCCGCCATGTCTCTTTTGTGTCTCTGGAGACCCTCTCTGCCTAGGGGTTAGGAGTCAAGGAGGGGAAGCCCTTTAAAGGGGAAGGAAGTTCATAGTTGTTCCCTTCCTTTGGTTCATCTGGAGGCAGAGCCATCTGGAATGCCAGCGCCCTCACCTGCCCAGAGGTAAGCCTGGCCCCAGCGCCCCCTGGCGGCTCCCCGCCTCGGGAGGGCTTCTGGGCCCGCTGGGCTCAGCTGAATGCTGGGTACCTTGTCCCCAGTAGGGTGAAAAGGGGAAAGAGTGGAAGGTATAACTTAAAGAAAAAACAGCAGGAGAAACCAACCCTGAAATCATGGAGACGGACCGAGGGGGAAGCTGCGTAGAGGGCAGTTGCTTGGCTGGGGCTGTGGGTCTAGGCTCTGCCCTGGGAGGTGGCCCGGCTGGGCTCTGTCCACCCTGGACTCCCTGCCTGCGTATGGGTTTGGCTCCCAAGGTCAAATGGCAGTTAAAGGGGCCATGTTGCAGGGTGGAAGCACGGCTGGGTGGCCCCAGGGCCCCAGGCAGGCAGATGGGCTCCTCCTCCCCTCACGCTAGGGTTCTGCTGCTCTAGGCCCTCCCTGCAGGGCTCCTGCTGGGAGCAGCCTCCCAGGGCTGAGATGACCCAGCATGGTTTAGTGGAGACAGAAGGCACCGCTTTCTCCTCGGGTGCAAACCTCTGAGCAAAGGCCTTTTTATGGAAAGCAGCAGCTGTGGGGGGCTCAGTCCTGCACCCCCCTGCAGGCAGAGGGGGCTGGTCACAGGGCGGTGTCCCCTCTTCTCCTCTCCTCAGTCCCCTCCCACACCCCCTGTCTCCTCTGCCTCCTGTGGGTCTCCACGGGCTGCCCAGTGCTGCCCCCAGGTGGACGCCTAGGAAGAGAGCTGCTGTGCCTGCTCCCCGTGGCCCGCAGGCATCCTGTGTGGTGTCCGCAGGCTGCCACCTAGCCCCAGACCCTGTTCCTCTGCTGCCACTCGCCCCCAGCTTCTGCCAGCCGTCGGACTCAGCAGGTCTGTGGACACAAAGCCCTGGGCTGCTGGATTTGGGGAGTGCTCCGGAACCCTCCTGGAGCCACATGAGCACGCCCAGGAGGCCCTTTGGGAAGGAAACCTGGGGAATCTGTGGGCCAGCCCCGTGCTGCTCAAGTGTGGCCAGGCACGTGGGTCACCAGGTCAGAGACAGGCTGAGGCCCTGCATCTGACAGGTTCCTGGCAGTGCCGATGTTGAGTGCAGACTGTGCTTGGAGGAGTCCCTGCCTCACCGTCCCTCCACCAGAAACCTCCATTTTGCCAGTTCTAGGAGCACGTGGTGCCTCCACAGAGACCCCTGGCCCAGCTCTGCGAGACCCACATCTGGCCAATCACCTGAGTCACGAGACTGCTTTAATCTGGGTTTGGGGTCATGACCTGTCCATGCACACACACTTTCTGTGTAAGACACACAAGGTTTGAGACGTGGAGCCAGCCTTCTCTGCGTAGCCTGCGGGCCAGTCCTGCCGTTGTGCTGCATTTCAGCGCAGCTGGTGGAGACTCCCTGGCTGCAGGTCACCAGCCCCAGGTGTACGTCATGCCCGGTTCCTCAGCCTCACCCACCCTTCCTGCCTCCACGGCCGCCTGTGTGTGTGGTTTCTTCCATGCGTGGTGCCGTCCCTGCCCCCCTCCCTCCCCTCCCCTCGTTCGCGGCAGCCCCTGCAGGAAATCTCGATGCCCCACCTGGGAGTGCCCTGGACCCCGGTGGTCCTGCTCCTCCCTGTGTGGTGTGATTTGAGGCTACCCCTCCAGCTGGAGGCTCAAGGGCCATATGTGGGGTGCCCGCAGGATCCTGACATTTTTGCTGTCGACTTGGCTGACCTGGCTGCACAGACGCTCTGCCATCAAGGGCCCTGGCAGCTGGAGGGCTCTTCAGGGTGGGGGCTTCTGGGGGCACGGGGCCTCTGTTTTCATTTGTGGGCTGAGATGGCCCTGCCGCTCACGGGTGACGTCCTTAGCACAGGGATGTGGTCAGCGTTTGGTCCGTAGTGGCAGAGGCGATGCGTGTAAAGACAGTTTCATACACAGGTGCAGCATCCACACTGGCACCGCCGTCCAAATCTGGAAATTTCAAGTGCTCCAAAATTCAGAACTCTGAGTGCCAATGTGATGGTCAAAGGAAATGCTCACTGGAGCATTTTGGATTTCGGATTTTCGGGTTAGGGATGCCAAACCAGTGAGTCTGATACAAATGTCCCCAAATTGGAAAAATATGGAATCTAATGTGTTTCATGTAAGGGACACTTAGCCCATATGAAAAATAGATGCATAGTGATGGCGCTTCATCCCGAGGCTCAGCCACAGCGTCCGCTCACGCTCTTCCGCAGATGCTGGACGAGAACCACCACCTGATCCAGTGCATCCTGGAGTACCAGAGCAAGGGCAAGACAGCCGAGTGCACACAGTGAGTGCTCCCCGGCCACACATGGGAACGCTTGAGGGGGGGGGTCACGCCGAGTCCAGGCACAGGGTTCAGGTATGTCCCGGGAGCCCCCAGCACAGCTGTGCAGCGTTACTGCCAGAACTGGAGTAGTTCCAAGAGAGTTGGGAGCAGTATGGGGAGGCCTGGGCTGGCCACTGCGGGCAGCTCTGCGGCCAACAGCCAGGGCACCAGGGGACAGCACCTCTTCCAGATAGCACCTCCTGTGACCCGGGGCCCAATGCAGAGGAGGGGTGCATGGCCAGTCCGCCACTCTCCAAGCGGCCGTGCAGATGGCTGTCAGAGTGACCTGGAGGTAGGAAGTGGGTGAAGGGCCTCAGGCAGCCCTGGTGTGGGTGGGGTGAGGGACTGAGGCCTCCTGGTGCGAGGTGTGTGAAGGGTTGTCCCTGGCAGGACTCTGCTTCCCTGTTGCTTTCCAGGCCTTTCTCAGGGTCGCTGGCTCCGTGGAGCCCACGTGCTGCCCAGCTCAGCTGGACAAGCGCTCTGTCCCTCTGTCCCCTTCAGGCCCCTGCCTCCTTGTGGCCTCCCTCATCTCCATTCTCTGAACAGACCGGTGCCAGCTCCCGCTTGGCCGCCGCCGTAGTTTTTCCAGAGTTTCGTCATGGGATGGGAGCCTGCTCAGGGTTTGGGGTAGAGGCTGCCCTGCCGTCCCCGCCTAGACCGCAGCACCCTGCGGCCTGCCAGTTTTCAGCTGGGCAGGCAGGCCTGTCCCTGGGTATCATCCGGGGTCTGTGTCCTGACGGTGTTGGGCTGAACTCCAGCTATCTCGGTCACACTTCACTCCTGCCATGGATCCGCCTGGGGACTCGGGGGTCCCGTCCGACCTCACGTGCGCCCTCACCCACAGGTACCAGCAGATCCTGCACCGGAACCTGGTGTACCTGGCCACGATCGCAGACTCCAACCAGAACATGCAGTCCCTGCTTCCCGCCGTGAGTACCCACGCAGGGCACGCCCCGACCCAGCAAGGATCTGACACTGCCTCCAATCAGAGTTCTGGGCGTGTCACCTCAGGTAGCAAAGGTGACTCGCAGAGAAACCCAACAATACCACCAGAACACCAGAATGGGAGGTGTGGGCACTGGTGACCAGCCCTTCCTGACATGGGGGTGATGATGGGAGGTGCAGGCAGCGGTGACCAGCCCTTCGTGACACAGTGGGCTGAATGATGGCACCTGAGGTGGCAGGGTCAGAACAGTGGCTCGGCCTTTTCATGTATCGAGTGGAGGGAAGCCCTGGAACTCGAGGAGCTCAGCAGCGGCTCTCGGGTGTGGGGTGTGGAGAGGTGAGACGGGGGCCCCCACATCTCCCTGGAACCTCTCTGGGTTCTTTGAGCAGTTGTGAGCTGTGCACATGCGCTGTCGTGGATGAAAACAGAACATAAAAGAAAATATGCTCTGCACAGTAAATTCTCCAAATGTTCAGATATTTTATATTGACTTTGTTAAATGCATTTTTCCAAAATTAAATTGTCACCGTGAAGGCGAGGTGTTGCCGCTGCAGCCTCTGTTCTGCCGCGCAGCGGAAGGATCAGCCTGTTGGGGCAGCGAGGTTGCAGGACAGACATGTCGTAGGGAATGCCGTCTGTCCTAGTGAGCCTGAGTCCCCAGAAATGACGACATAAATGCCGGGATGTGTTTTGCGAGTCAAAACGTTAAACCCACCTCAGTGGACCTGTCCCTTTGGAGTTCTTTGCCCTGTAGATCCCCGTAGGTCCTACTGGAAATTTCCTTTCCTTGGCCAGGTGTAGACAGCATGTGTGTGCAAGCCTCCAGAGCTGCTGTTTGACCTTGATCGGGGTCGGGGGTGCTGAGGGTCACTTCACACACTCTCACTTCCGTGTGGTATGATCCAGGATTGGCGTAGAGGAGTGGGGAGCGAGGCAGGAGGGGGCCACACGCACCAGGAGCACAGAAACAGCAGAGAGAGCCCGCCTGTGCCAAGGCCCTCCACGGAGGGACTGCAGACAAGGAACACAGGCACCGGCCAGCTGCACCCGAGAGGGATGGGGTGGGTGCAGCCTGGCAGGCCAGGGAAGGGGTCCCTACTGTCCCAGGAGAAGGAGGTGCAGCATTTCACACCCAGACGTGTGTGGATGAACTCGATACTCTATTATAGAACGCTCACCCAGACTCTCGTTATGCCATCTCCCCCTGGGCCTGGTGCGCTGTGGTTGCCCTGGCTATGACGGTTGGTTATGGACATTGACCAGGTGGCTGTGACGTGTGGCGGCAAAGCTCGGGCGCCCTCTCACCCCTGGCCTGGCTGGTGGAGGTTGCTCTCTGTGAATTAACCATTTTTTCCTGAAAACTTCCTGTTGCCCACAGCCCCCCACGCAGAACATGAACCTGGGCCCTGGAGCCCTGAGTCAGAGCGGCTCCAGCCAGGGCCTGCACTCCCAGGGCAGCCTAAGCGACGCCATCAGCACGGGCCTGCCACCCTCTTCCCTCCTGCAGGGCCAGATTGGCAACGGTGAGTGCGGCCGGGGGAGGAGGCCATTCCTGGCCACAAGTCACCGAGGCAGTCCTAGGCCGCTGTTTGCCATGGTGGACACCCCACACCTTGCAGGGCTGGGCATCGGTACCCACTCCTCTTAGGGCAGCCAGAGGTGAGGGCTGCCGTCGCCCAGGCTCGCGGCTGGTGCAGTCGCTGTGCGGCTGGATGAGCCCTGACTCCAGATCTCCCACTTGCACACACCGTCATATTTCGTCCACTTCATGCAGGGTGTGGGCTCCGGGTAGGTGGTTGGATAAGGATGGAATGCTTCTGTCGTTGGACTGAAAAGTATGAGTAACATTTGGAGACTGTTAATCACGTAACAGGCCAGGCATGGTGGCTCAGACCTCTGATCCCAACCCATTGTGAGGCCTAACAGGCCAGCAGATCGCTTGAGGCCGGGAGTTTGAGACCAGCCTGGGCAATATGGCAAAACTCCATCTGTGCAAAAAATAAAATGTTAGCTGGGTGTGATGGCGCACACTTGTAGTCCGAACTGTTAAATACTTGGGAGGCCAAGGTGAGAGGCTCGCTTGAGCTTGGGAGCTGAGGCTGAAGTGAGCCATGTTCATGTCACTGCCCTGCAGCCTGGGTGATAGAGCCAGACCCTGTCTCAAAAAATAGTAACAAAGTAACAACAAATGTACCATTCTTTTTATACTTTGCTAGCATGTATGCTGCCTCCTGGGTTCAAGCGATTAGCTGGGATTATAGGATTGCGCCACCATACGCAGCTAATTTTTTTCTTTTTCTTTTTTTTTTTTCTTTTTTTTTTGAGACAGAGTCTCACTCTGTCACCAGGCACCAGGCTGGAGTACAGTAGCATGATCTCAGCTCACTGCAACCTCCGCCTCCCGGGTTCAAGCAATTCTGCCTCAGCCTCCCAAGTAGCTGGAACTACAGGCACGCGCCACCGCACCCAGCTGATTTTTTGTATTTTTTAGTAGAGACGAGGTTTCACCATGTTGGTCTGGATAGTCTCGAACCAGCTAATTTTTTTGTAGAGATGGGGTTTCCACCATGTTGGTCAGGCTGGTTTCGACCTCTTGACCTCAGGTGATCTGCCCACCTTGGCCTCCCAAAGTGCTGGGATTACAGGCATGAGCCACTGTGCCTGGCCACTTACTTCTTTATTAATCACTTAATGGTTAATAGTAGTGCTATTGATAGCATCTCTCCCCAAAATCACTTGAAGGGAAATTGGGGTGTCTTCACCTTCAGAAGTGGTGACCCGGCTGTCCAGCACCTGACCCTGCTCCCCACTCCCCTGGCAGGGCCGAGCCATGTGTCCATGCAGCAGACGGCGCCAAACACGCTGCCCACCACCTCCATGAGCGTCTCGGGGTCCGGCTACAGCCACGCAGGGCCCGCGTCGCAGGGCGTCCCCATGCAGGGACAAGGCACCATCGGCAATTACGTGTCTCGGACCAACATCAGCATGCAGTCTAATCCAGGTACCCCCTGCCTCCGCTGCCCCACAGGGCCCGGGCCTGCCTCCAAGACCCTTGACGCACATGCACGGTGGATGTGTGGTCCCCAGGGCGCTGCCTTCCTGCCAGGTGCTATTGGAGGGGCCGTGAGTCTGTGCCAACCACCTCCCAGAGAGCTTCCGGAGGGGTGGGCGCCAGTGGGTGCACAGCCGACTCCTCCTGTGCCCCAGCTTCGTGAGGGGCGGGGGTGTCTCCCATGGAGTCTCAGGGAGTGGGGACCACACGCCCTGGGTCTGGACGGACAGCACTGGGCGCTCAGAGGTGGGTAGCGTCGTTCCCCGGGGAGGGAACAGCCTGGCCGGAGACACCTCAGTGGAGAAGACGAGGGGCCACGCGCGCTGGGCCAGAGGCCTTGGCCTTTCTGCAGGGCCACGGGAGCCCAAGAGCGGCTCCATCCGCCGTGGTGGCCACGTGTGGTGTTGGGCCCTTGAGAAGCAGCAGGTCCCCGCCGCATTTCGTGAGCGTCAGCCCCGGTTGAGTGTCGTGAGTGTTTGAGGTACTCGGACTTCAGGGGCTCAGTGCCAGCGAAGGGTGCGGAGGACCTCCGTAGGATTTCCTCAGAATCACTGAATGTTAAACGTTGATTTTGGACGTACTGACTCAAATAAAGTGCGTGATGACGACGGATTTCCCGTTTGTTTTTACTTTCCTCATGTGGTTACTAGAAACTGTAAAAAGCGTGGCTCATGTCACTTCTGTCGGACGGGGCTTCGTGGGCTCCTGAGCAGGGGACGTGTACAACAGGCCAGTAGGCGGGGAATGCTGTGCCACCAGTGTGAAGGGCCTCAAGGTTGCAGAGGTGCTAAGGCAGGGACAGTGTGACCCTTGAGGCCAGCTCGAGGGACCAGGGGGAACAGGACTTGAGCCACAGTGGAAGTGGGGTCGTCACGGGAGCCATGTGTCCAAGGAAAGGGTGGAGGTGCTTGTTGGCTGTGGAAGGCCCTAGACCTTCCTGCCCAGGGGCTGCACGTCAGCACTTGTTTAATTTGTGGGTGCAAGCAGCGGGGGTCTGAGCGTGCAGGGCGTCGGTGCAGGCATGCAGCAGATGTGCATTGCAGTGGAGGGCGGTGTTCTGGGGAGCACAGGAAAATAGCCAAGGGCACGCCTGGGCACAGAAGGTAGTTGGGTATGGGAGAGAGGGAGGGAGGCTCTTCCCGGGGTGACGGGGGCCTCTGTGTTCTTCCCGGGGTGACAGGGGCCTCTGTCCTCTTCCCGGGGTGACGGGGGCCTCTGTCCTCTCCTGAGGTGATGGGGGCCTCTGTCATCTTCCCAGGGTGACGGGAGCCTCTGTTCTCTTCCCAGGGTAAGGGGGCCTCTGTCCTGTCCTCTCCCTGGGGTGACGTGAGGCCTCTCTCCTGTTGCACAGTCTCCATGATGCAGCAGCAGGCAGCCACGTCACACTACAGCTCCACGCAGGGCGGCAGCCAGCACTACCAGGGGCAGTCGTCCATCGCCATGATGGGCCAGGGCAGCCAGGGGAGCAGCATGATGGGGCAGCGGCCCATGGCGCCCTACCGGCCCTCCCAGCAAGGTAACGCCCAGCCAGGCTGGGTCTCGGGCACAGCTGACCGCCATGGGTCATGAGGTGCTAGCCTGCGGGTGCTGCTCTGCGGGGCACTGGGGGAGTGAGGCTTGGCACCTTGGTGTGTGTTGAGTGTGGGCACCGGCTGTGCGGGACTGGAGTAGGGCCCACTGAGGGGTCTGCTGTCCCCAAGAAGTCAGTGTTGGGGGCAGGTGGCAATTGTGATTAAGTGTGTCACAGCCAGGCCGGGCTCATCCCTGTAGTCCCAGCACTTTGGGAGACCAGCCTGACCCACATGGTGAAACTCCATCTCTACTAAAAATACCAAAAATAAGTTGTTCACAGCAACACTGTGGGTGTTCTCCTGGGGGTGGGCAAGGCCGCTCAGCGGGGCCCTGGCTTCCCCACCGAGTGAGGAGGTCCTCGGCAGGAGGAGGCCGCGGCCCGCACTGGTGCTGACTGTGGTTCCCCCGCAGGCTCTTCCCAGCAGTACCTGGGCCAGGAGGAGTATTACGGCGAGCAGTACAGTCACAGCCAGAGTGCCGCAGAGCCCATGGGCCAGCAGTACTACCCCGACGGTGAGTACCGGGGTGCCCAGCCCCACCCAGGAAAGCAGAGCAGCGCCGGGGCCAGGGGGCCGCTACTGCACGTGTCCTCGGTCATTCCAGCTCAGGCCTGGGCTACAGGCAGAGTGGCCAGATGCCCTGCGGGAGCGCCGTAAAGGCCAGGGTGAGCTGGGCTGGCAGCAGTGCCAGGCCTCCGCAGAGAGAAGCTGCAGCACACGCCATCACACTTGGCCTCCATGCAGCCTCACCTCCTTCCTGAACGGCTGTGGGAGTGGGGAGGTGGAGGTGGAGAAGCACAGCCCCCCACAGAAGGTGGACCCATTCGGGAGGTGCCTCCCAGTTCACAGTGAATGCCCTGAAGGTGGCGGTTCCACCCCCAGCACCTGCCCCTGCCCCCTCTCACCTCGGTAGAGTATGTTCCCATTGTCACCTTTCAGTCTTTCCGCGGTCCCAGGGCTGTGGAAGGGACACTGAAGGTGGTCTTGGCTGAGCGCAGTGGCTCACACCTGTCATCTCGGCGCTTGGGAGGGCAAGGCAGGAGGATTGCTTCAGCCCAGGATACTGAAGCCACACTGAGGCATGATCATGCCACTGTACTCCAGCCTCAGTGGCAGCAAGTCCCTGTCTCTAAAAAAGTAAAAACAGTAAAAGAGGTGGTCTTGGAGGCTGGGTTCGTCCCAGGAGGCATCCAGGCAGGGAGCTGGCCTCAGCCAGCCAGACGCAGGTGCACAGCAGGTTGGGAAGGCGGGTGGGCAGGTGGCAGCAGGGCAAGCCCCCTCTTGCCACGTGATGGTCACATGCAGGGAAGGCCTCGCGGAGGGGTGGACACCTGCCCACGTCCTCCCAGGAGCCAGTGGCAGGGAGGAGAAGTCAGTCGGGTCACTAGTGTGGCCGTGGGTGGCCACTGGGAGCTCTGATCCTCTGCACAGATCCTCAGGTAGCCTCACAGTCGCCCCAAGGAGGAGGCATTGATGTCTGCATTTCAGCGAGGAGACCGAGGCGCAGGAGGTCAAGGGCGTGGTCAGTCTGGAGACATGGGTCCTGCTGGCTCTGGTTGTCCCCCTGGCCCGACAGCGTCTTCCCAGCCTGGGTCTCAGTTGCCTCCTCCGGGATCTGTGCAGCCTTCGCTGACTGTTGCTGTCTCTGTTTCACACAGGCCATGGCGATTACGCCTACCAGCAGTCATCATACACGGAGCAGAGCTACGACCGGTCGTTTGAGGAGTCCACGCAGCACTACTACGAGGGGGGTAAGGAGCACGGCCGCGTGCAGGGCTCAGGTGTCAGCACCACGTGCAGCAGAGTTAGGACACTGCACCCTCAGGAGCGCATGTGCCTGTCTTGAGCACGTCTCCCTTCAATCACAGCATAGCACCATGTGGGAGACGGTGCCTTCCTCTGGGAGCTGGAAATTCAGGCTGTGTCGGGAGCCCTGCTTGCCTTAATGTGTGTGTTCGTGCGAAAGGGGAAAGGGGTCAGCCAGCCATGCTGGGGCTGGGGGCACAGACTGTTACTGGGTCTGGCCAGGCAGCGTGGGGTCTGCAAGCCACACTCGGGGCTTCCTGCGCAGAGGCCAGGAGTGGCTGTGCTGGGTGTAGCCTTGCAGTTCTTCAAACACCGGCAGGCCAGGAAACGCACATCTGTGGCTGGGGGCTTGCCGCCCTTCCTGGGGTCCTGGGCTGTGCTGCACTAGGGGCTGTGCATTGGGTGGACTTGCCCATTTCTGTGGTGTGTGTGCTCCTGCCCTGGCTACTCTGAAACCCCAGTAGAACATCCCAGAATGTGGAGTTGGGAGCAGGTACACACACAGCCAGGTCCAGCCCGCCCCGGGATAAAGGTAGCCCCCAGAGAACGGTTGATGGTCACCTGCGGGATTTCACGGCCTTGTCTGGGAGATGTGGCAGGCCTGCAGTCCCTGGGGAGAGGGGCTTCGTGTCCACTCATACTGACGAGCAGGCAGCAGTGGCCAAGGCCCTCTCACTGCCAGGCCTCAATTTACCAAGAGATAACAATGTCCAGAGTAGGTGAGGCTTCAGCGAAGCAGGCAGGCTCTAAACGGCTACAAATTTCCTTGTTTGGGTTACTTTTTTTTTTTTTCTTTCCCCGAGATGGAATCTTGCTCTATTTCCCAGGCTGGAGTGCAACGGCCCGGTCTCAGCTCACTGCAACCTCTGCCTCCTGGGTTCAAGTCTCCTGCCTCAGCCTCCTGAGTAGCTGGGATTACAGGCACCTGCCACCACACCTGGCTAATTTTTGTGTTTTTAGTAGAGACAGGGTTTTGCCATGTTGGCCAAGCTGGTCTCAAACTCCTGACCTCATAATCCGCCTGCCTCATCCTCCCAAAGTGCTGGGATTACAGGCATCCTGCGTTACTTCTTAAAGAATTGAATGTGTCAAAGTTTTGCTTCTGAGCTTACATGTCTCAGTCTGCTGTGAAGAAACCACGCAAGTGTAGACCTGTATGGGAACATCACAGAATGCGCCACCAATGCCTGCCACGTTTAATCGTCAGTTATACTTTCAAACACCTGGGGGAACAAAAAGCGCATGAATAAATAAGAGGCTGGGCGCAGCGGCTCACGCCCGCAATCCCAGCACTTCGGGAGGCCGGGCGCAGCGGCTCACGCCCGTAATCCCAGCACTTCGGGAGGCTGGGTGCAGTGCCTCACGCCCGTAATCCCAGTACTTTGGGAGGCCAAGGCAAGCAGATAAGTTGAGGCCAGGAATTTGAGACCAGCCTGACCAACGTGGTGAAACCTCGTCTCTACCAAAAAATACAAAAATTAGCTGGCCGTGGTGGTGCATGCCTGTAGTCCCAGTTAGGAGGCTGAGACAGAAGAATCACTTGAATCCGGGAGGCAGAGGTTGCAATGAGCCGAGATCATGCCACTGCATTTCAGCCTTGTGACAGAGTAGGACCCTGTCTCAAAAAAAAAAAAAAAAAAGCCAGGTGCAGTGGCTCACACCTGTAATCCCAGCACTTTCGGAGGCCAAGGCAGGCAGATCACCTGAGGTCAGGAGTTCAAGGCCACCCTGGCCAACATGGTGAAACTCCATCTCTACTAAAAATACAAAAATTAACTGGATATGGTGGCATGTGCCTGTAGTCCCCAGCTACTTGGGAGGTTGAGGCACAAGAATTGCTTGAACCCAAGAGGCGGAGGTTGCAGTGAGGTGTAGGTTGCAGTGAGCCGAGACCGTGCCATTGCACTCCAGCCTGGGCAACAAGAGTGAAACTCGGTCTCAAAAAATAATAAAATAAAAATAAAGAAAGAAATGGCCCGGCATGGAGGCTTATGCCTGTAATCCCAGCACATTGGGAGGCCAAGGCAGAAAGATTGCTTGAACTCAGGAGTTTGAGACCAGCGTGAGCAACATGGCAAAACCCTGTCTCTACAAAAAAAAAAAAGCCAGGTGTGGTCTCAGGCACCTGTAATCCCAGCTGCTGAGGAGGCTGAGGTGGGAGAATTGCTTAAGCCCAGAGGCAGAGGTTGCAGTGAGTTGAGATTGTGCCACTGCACTCCAGCTTGGGTGACAGAGGTAGACCCTGTCTCAAAAAAAAGAAGCCACCCTGTAGCCAGTGCCCAGAAGCCATCTTTTGGCATGCTGGCTGCAGTGGTGCCTCGGTCAGCCTGGGAGCCTGCAGGATCTCTGCCGTCTTGGGCCTGGCCCCGGCCCTGCCAGCCACAGCAGTTTCAGCTTTGTCTGTGGTGAGGTGTCCACGTGCATCTGCCCAAGCCTGCCACACTTTATTCCAAAAACAAACAGGATGTGCTGCTCAGCCTGTCAATGTCAGACACAGCGACCTTCTTTTCAAAGAGGACCTTGCTCTGTTACATAGGCTGGAGTGCAGTGGTGTGATCGTGTGCACTGCAGCCTTGAAATCCCAGGCTCAGTGATCCTCCTGCCTCAGCCTCCCAAAGTGCTGGGATTACGGGTGCCAGCCACCGCGCCTGTTGGGCTATTTTTTTTATTTTTTAATTTTTGTAGAGATAAGATCTCGCCATGTTGCCCAGGCTGGTTTTGAACTCCTGGGCTCAAGTGCCACCTCAGCCTCCGACAGGGCAGGGGCCCCAGGTGTGCCCGTCGTGCCCGACTGATACGTACTTCTGTGGTTGTCGTGGGTTACATGCCCTTGCCTTCCATCATTGATGAGAAATTTGCTAAAAAGCTTAGAAACCTCTGAAGACCAGTAAGACGGTGGCATGGTTTCCTCCTTGATTTAGAAGGTTCTTATTCCATCTACTTGTTAATTAGACTCTGACATGAGGAGTACCCATACGTAGGTGACGCTGTGCCCTATAGCAGGTGGTACTATGCAGTCTTGCAGGGTGAGAGGCCTGGAGGTGCTTTGTTCTGAAGCGACTGGGGGATGCATCATAGCCATGTTCAAACACAATTGTGGCCCATGGCACAGTGGAGAGGCTGGGGGACGTTAAGAGGAATAGGTCAAAGGCACCATAAAGAACTTTCCAGGCCGGGTGCGGCGGCTCCCACCTGTGCTCCCAGCATTGTGGGGGCCAGGGCAGAGGATTGTATGAGCCTGGGAAGTTGAGACCAGCCTAGGCAACATAGTGAGACCCCATCTCTACTAAAAATCAGAAAAATTAGCCAGGTGTAGTGGCGAGCGCCTGCTGTACCACCTACTTGGGAGGCTGAGGCAGGAGCATAGCTGGAGCCCAGCGGGTCAAGGCTGCCGTTAACTGTGGTTGCACCACTGTGCTCCAGCCTTGGTAATAGAGGGAGACCCTGTCTTAAAAAAAGAGAAAGAGAGAATGTTCCAACTTTGAGTCATCCCTCAGCAGGATGAGTCGGACAGGCTGGGGCTGGAATTGTTCCTGGTGACAGCATCCATTAGGAGCCTGCAGAATCCAGTAAAACAGGAGGGTGCTCCAGAGCCAACAAATGCATAGGGTTTTTGGAAAAAAATTTTAAAAAAAGAAAACAGGAGGGTGTTCATGCCCAGGGCACCAGTAATAGGAGGGGACCAGAGTGGAGCCAACCAAGCCAGGAGGGGACACCAGGGGCCACGGGGCCATGCATGCTGGGCAGGAGCATTGGGATGTGGTGCGTGGTTGGGGAGGGGCCCAGGTGGGGTACAAGCCCTGCACTTGCATGGAAGTGAGGTTTGCAGTGGCTCAGACTGCACAGAGCCTGGCCCCTGTGACCTGGCTGCTGGGCACCGTGGCCCTTAGGAAAGACCGCCCCATGAGCCACAAGAGCTGAGTGTGGGGCTGGATGGGATGCACCTTCTCTGTGAAAATGCAAGGAAGATGAGACTACACTTGCACACAACGCACGCTCACACTATCAGCCAACTGGACAGACACCAAAACAACAAACAGAAACACTTACAGTGGGAGATGGGGTTAGGCTAGAGCAGGGGTAGACATGGCCGCCTTCCCAGGACCTCTTGAAGGTGTGGGTCTGTCTGCATTTACCTTTGAATCACGTGGACTTGCTGGCAGCTTCAGAAGTTAACCATCACTGGGGCCTCCCAGTGGATCATCCCTGTAATCCCATCCCTGTAATCCCAACACTTTGTGAGGCTGAGGCTGGTGGATCACTTGAGGTCAGGAGTTTGAGACCAGCCTGGCCAACAAGGTGAAACTCCATTTCTACTCAAAAATATAAAAATTAGCCAGGCTTGGTGGCACCTGTCTGTAATCCCAGCTTCTTGCAAGGCTAAGGTAGGAGAATCAGTTGAACCCGGGAGGCAGAGGTTGCAGTGAGCCAAGATCGCCCAAGTGCACTGCAGCCTGGGGCGACAGAGGGAGATTCCATCTGGAAAAAAAAGGAACATCATTGGCTGTCACAGAAACTGAAGAGACGCTACCCTATGGCTGTCCACACCTCCTGGAGTGCCGAGAGCAGCCAGTGTGTCGTGTTGTGTTTCACAGGCTGTCACCCAAGTGGTGACCAGCGTGTCCCAGGGGTGGACGACGGGGTGGACTACAGGGTGGGGAGGCCGGGGCAGCGCTGGGCCGCCTTGGCTGTGTCATCGTGTGGATCACTGTTTTTATGTGACGGCTCTGAGCTGCCCGTTCACTTACTCCTTGAGGCCAATTGTGACCGCATTGTGCCGCTTCTGAGCAAGCAGAGGGCGCGTGCTGGCCTCGTTACACAGATGCACCAGGCTACCCAGCACCTTCTCACAGACACCCCGCAGAATGCCGGAGGGTTCTTAGAGAAAGAAAAGGAAGAACCATGGAGTATTTGCTGGTTGCAGAGGAAAGGCCCCATATTTACCCGCCCCGTTGCTTTCATGTCAAGAGCACAGCCTGGGTTCCCCCTGGCTCTGCTGGTTTCATGAAACACATCTGAAAACAGCAAAGGTCTTTTCCACAGCCTTTGTGCCCCCTTTCCCTGCAGAGTTACCTCAGCAGCCCCCTCTCTCCGGGGATAGGGCAGCTGCTGCCTGTTCACACCACTGGGGTGTGAGAGGCAGGCCTGGTCCCTTTGTACTGGGGCTGTGTGTTTGGAGCTGGCACTCGCAGTTGTTGCATGCCTGCTGTGTGCCAGGGCAAAGCTGGCCCATGAGAATATGCAGGCTGACCCCCAGAAATCTGACACCACTGAGAACCCCTACGTCAGATGGCTTTTGTGGGGGCAGGGTCGAGAATAGCGACCTTAAGTCTTCCCACGTGGTGATGACAGCTCGTGTGCCAGCTGTCGCTGGAACCGGCCCTGGATTTTGAGGGAGGTGTGGAAGTTGAGGACTCAAGGGATTTCCTGGATGAAGAATAACTGGGAAGGCTCAAGCAGGTTTCTCCGAAGCTCTCACCTTAGGGAGGAGCTCAGCCTGGAGTAAGAGCAGGGGTTTTGTCATCCCATCTAACCACAGGTTGAGTAACCCTGATGGGTTTTTGAGCTTTTCCAATGTACATTATCTCAATAAAGCTGTTATTTTAAAAAATACTAGATTCCAGTTTTAAAATACTTAAATTTTACAGCTTCTGAAAAAGGCAAGTTATTTCCAACCAAAAAAGTAAAATAGGAAAATTGACTTTTTGCATGGAGCATGGTGGCTTATGCCTGTAATCCCAACAGTTTGGAAGGCCAGTGCAGCAGGATTGCTTGAGGTTAGCCTGGGAAACATAAGGAGACCCTGTCTCTACAAAAGATTGAAAAATTATTTGGGCATGCTGGTACACACCTATAGTCCTAGCTACTCGGGAGGCTGAAGTCAGAGGATCACTTGAGCCAGGGAGATTGAGGCTGCAGTGAGTTTTGATGGCACCACTACACTCTAGCCTGGAGACAGAGCGAGGGCCTGTCTGAAAAAAATAAAATAAAATGACATCTGCCCAGACTCTATGCCCAGATAAGGTCCCATTCACAGGCCCTTGGCTCACTTGAGCCCTGGAGGTGGAGGCGGAGGCTGCAGGGAGCCGAGATTGCACCAATGCACTCCACCTGGTGACAGAGTAAGTTGTTAGTAATAATAACTTGGCTTGTATCAGTTCTTTCTGAACCCTTTGAGTCCTTCCAGGACTTCGGCATCTCTCTGGCGAGCACAGTTCCGCCCACAACGCTGGCGTTCATCTCTGTCTTAGTCGTCACGTTAACAGTTTCATTTCTTAGCTTTCCATTTGTATTTCTGTAAGATAAGAAGAAGGTGTATTTTAGTATTTGAATCGTTGTGAGAAAGTGCACATGCCGAAGCCACAGGTCTGGTTTTGGAATTCAGAGTTACTATGTCATGAGCCGCTCACGGAATGCACTCCCTCAGCCGCGGGGGCAGGGGGTGCTCCCTCAGCCCGGAGGGGGCTCCCTCAGCCTGCGAAGGAAGTCATCTCCATGTGTCCTCCTCCCTCCAGGAAACTCTCAGTACAGCCAGCAGCAGGCCGGGTACCAGCAGGGCGCCGCACAGCAGCAGGCCTACTCCCAGCAGCAGTACCCCAGCCAGCAGAGCTACCCCGGGCAGCAGCAGGGCTACGGTAAGTGGGGGCATGTTCCTCAGGGCCCCCCAGCGCCCACCCCCAGCGCACACAGGCACATGTGCAGCAACCCTGGCACGCAGGCAGATGTGTAATCAGCTTCTTATTTTGAATAGCTTTACGTTTCCAGAAAAGTGGAAACATCCATGCATGTCGGGCTGAAACATTGTAACTTAAACATCAACATAAATTCATTGCCCACACGGCCTGTGAGGGAGCCGGTGTCCTGTCTGTCCGCCACCTGCATGACCCATGCCCATCTTCAACCTCCTTGACAGAGCAGGTCAAAGCCTGTGGGTCTCGGCCTTCACTGCAGCTCAGAATCACCCAGGAAGCTTCTGAAAAATAAGGTCTGGGGCTGCCCCAGATCAGTCTGAGCAAATCTCGGTTCTCAGGATGAGCCCCACACACATGGCTTCTTATGAGACTCATGCATGATTCTGCTGTGGTGAGGAAGGAGAGGCCCTGTTAAAGGTTGCTAACCCTTTAGGACCACACTAATTAAATAGTAGTTTAAATATTACTTGAGGAGGCTGGGAGCGGTGGCTCACCCCTGTAATCCCAGCACTTTGGGAGGCAGAGGTGGGCGGATCACCTGAGGTCAGGGGTTCAAGACCAGCCTGACCAATTTGGTGAAACCCCATCTCTACTAAAAATAAATTAGCCAGGCATGGTGGTGTATGCCTGTAACCCCAGCTACTTGGGAAGCTGAGACAGAATTGCTTGAACCTGGAAAATGGAAGTTGGAGGGAGCCGAGGTCGTGCCACTGCACTCCGGCCTGGGTGACAGAGCGAGACTCCATCTCAAAATAAAAAGAACTTACTTGAGGCTCTTTGCAGTGGCTCATGTCTGTAATCCCAGCACTTTGGGAGGCTGAAGCAGAAGGATTTCTTGAGCCCGGGAGTTTGAGACCAGCTTGGGTGACATAGAAAAACCATCTCTACAAAAAATACAAAAGTTAGCCGGCATAATGGTGCACTCCTGTGGTTCCAGCTACTTGGGAGGCTGAAGCAGGAGAATCGCTTGAGCCCCAAAAGGTAGAGGTTGCCATGAGCTGGGATCATGCCACTGCACTCCATCCTGGGTGACAGAGTGAGACCCTGTCTCAAAAAAAAAAAAAAAAAAAATTACTTGGCCTTTATCAGTCCTTTCCGAAGCCTTCGACCTGGGCTTCCTAGAGACGATGCCTCCGTCTCACCTGCCTGTAGGACTTCCGCAGCTCCTGTGATAGTTAAGTTACAGCAGCCAGTGCGACTGGCACCAGCGGATTCTGGAGGGCTCTCCTGCTGTCCCGCCTTTGGGTAGCAGTAGCTCGGGTGGTGGGGAGAGGCTGTCCGTGCCCCCATGCTGGTGGCAGGCTTGGGGCGCAGTCCTGCAACCTCACAGGACTGGAGGGGCTGGTGAGTTGGCTGCGTGCTGCTCGCTGTACAGAGTTAACGTGGAGCTCCTGCAGGCGCAGAAAGACAGACGCGCCCATTGTGGCCGGCCTCACGGTTTCTGCTGTTTTCTCAGGGCCTGCCCAGGGAGCCCCCTCGCAGTACCCCGGCTACCAGCAAGGCCAAGGCCAGCAGTACGGAAGCTACAGAGCACCGCAGACGGCGCCCTCTGCCCAGCAGCAGCGGCCCTACGGCTACGAGCAGGCAAGCCTTTTGGATGTTAACAGATGTGCCCGTCCGCCTTGCCTGTCGAGATGTAATGAAGGTTTATTTTACGGCCCAGGGTTCCTTCCAGAACGTTAAGTCTCTGAGCCTGTAAGGTTTTTCAGAGTCACTCCTGTGTACACGCTCACCTCAGTCACGCAGCGGCTTTTCATACCCTAAACTCACCGTTACAACTGCATGCCTGGTTCTCCCATTCATTCCTTCACTGCCCATGTTTGTTGCATACTGGGCACGCGGCAGGTCTCTGCTGGGTGCCTGGCATGTGGCCATGACACGAACCCTATGCTTTTAGAGTTTATGTCTTGCTCCGGAAACCGTCACTAGTCCCACGGGGCCAGACCTTGCTGAACACAGAGCGGGGAGCCCCTAGTGGAGCTTGCCTTCAGGGTGGGGGTCCAGGCAGCCGCATTTGGCCAGTGTGGACAATTCCAGAAGGAAGACACAGTGGGGAGTGGCGGGCAGCCTCAGGCTCAGCCCAGGGAAGGAGGAGCCCTTTCTGTCCAGGGACAGTGATCGTGGCTTTGAAAGAGCTGAGGAAAGAGCACCTTGGAAGCCAGAAGAGTGGGAGTTCCCAGGACAGCGAGGAGGCCAGCATGGTGGGAGGTGACAGGAACAGGTTGGCGTGGGGGCCCCCATAAAGGAGGCATTGCAGTCACTCTGAGTGGGACGGGGCCACTAGAGGAGGACAGGGTCTGTGTGGTGGGAGCACTGCAGGGGCAAGGGTCTCCCAAAGGAGAATGAGCCAGGCACAGGAAGGGGCGTGCCAAGGTGGTTTGTCCCAGTGAAGGCAGCACAAAGGATGCTCGGTGGCTGCAGCATGGGGCATACGAAGGAGAATCATCTCGGACAGTTTTTGGAGCCTCCTCTGAGAGAGTCCTTAGCAGGAAGTGGTGACTCTGTGTTGGTGACTCTGTGCTGGCTTGGACGTGTGAGGGACGCTTTACAACACCGATAAAATTTCAAAGCACTCCATCTATCAAGGTTGTTTTTCTCAGGGAATCAGATGGGGAAGAGGCCGAGTACTGTTTTTTAAATGCTTCTTGGCCTGCTCCCTCAGGAAGGCAAAGGGGCACCAGTTAGATGAAGAGAAGCCTAAAGATCGTGTAACACAGGCCCCCTTGCAGGACACAGTACTGGAAGGGCACGCGCATTAGGCAGTTTCACAGGCATCAGGAGTGCTCCTGGTCTGCTCTCAGGACACTGAGGCCACTACAGCCAGCACCAGGGGCTGCGTCTCCCCAGCTCGTGCTGGGCGCTGGTCAGTGAGGAACAGCCACGCTCTCTCTAGGGGCATCATGCTGGCGTCTGGAAGGACAGCCATCTGCATCTTCAGGTTAGAATCATTTGAATGATTCTGATGAGACGCTGTACCTTCTTCATGCAGTCCTGAAAATAATTTCTTTGGATTTTATGAAAAAAGTTCTAAATTAATTATAGACCGAACCAGAGCACATACAACTTTATACCTACCTACGAAAAGACCAGGACCGGTCGTGGCGGCCCATGGTGTAGTCCCGGCACTTTGGGAGGCCAAGGCAGGAGAGTTACTAGAGCCCAGGAGTTTGAGACCAGCCTGGGCAACATAGCGAGACATGTCTCTACAAAAAAAAAAGAAAATGTAGTCGGGCATGGTGGTGCATGCCTGTAATCCCGGCTACTTGGAAGGCTGAGGCAGGAGGATCCCTTGAGCCCAGGAGGTCAAGGCTGCAGTGAGCCTTGATTGCACCATTACACTCCAACCTGGGCTACAGAGAGCGAGACTTTGTCTTAAAAAAAAGAAAAAGAAAAAGAAAGGCAAAGACCCGGTGTGGTAGCTCATGCCTGTAATCCCAACACTGGAAGGCCGAGGCAGGTGGATCACCAGCAGGCAGGAGTTCAAGACCAGCCTGGCCAACATGGTGAATCCCCATCTCTTCTAAAAATATAAAAATTAGCAGGGTGCCTGTAAGCCCAGCTACTCAGGAAATAGGTGGGAGAATCTCTTGAACCCAGAAGTTGGAGGTTGCAGTAAGCTGAGATTGCACCACCACTCCAGCCTGGGCAACAGAGCAAAACTCTTGTCTCAAAAAAAAGACACAAAGCAACAGAGAAGATAGAGATTTTCCCATTTGGGGGAATGTTTTCATCTGACTGCAGAATATTCAGGTAACATGGTCTTTCGTCAGAATCAAGTGTAACTGTGGCCGTGGTGTTTCGGCACAGCACTGCCGGCGCTGGGCATCTCCTGGGGGCCGTTGTGCCCACCGTGTTATGTTTGCAGCACCTTTGGCCTCCACCCACAATGCCAGTAGCACGCACGTCGCCCAGTCTGACAAAGTGTCTCCAGACATTGCCGGATGTCCCTGGGGCACGCTGAAAAGTGTGCTGAGGCTTCAGGGTTGCCTGCGGGTTCCCAGGGCTCAGGGTCTGCTGTGCCCTCGCCTGAGCAGCTCTGGATTGGAGGCTTTCTGTCTTACCCGGTGGTGCAGGGGCAGAGAGACATCGGAACGGACTCCTGCCGCCCAGGGTCCTCACGGCCGCTCTGAATGAGAATGTGGCAGCCTGTGTTCTGCCAGGAACATGATGTCTGGATTCTCGGTCAGGCCAGGGCGGCTTTCCTCCCTCCCCACCCCCCTGCTGTGGGCACTCAGGAAATCTGATGGTTAACTAGCTGGGGGCACATGGAGAATCAGGCATGCAGACCACGAGTCGTGCCTTCCTCCATGGCAGTCTCCTGATTGGCTTTCATCACAGTTCTCGTGCTCCATTTGGCTCCTGAGGAATTCTCGGTCTCGTGGCCTTTTGGGCCATGAGCTCTCTAGTTCTCTCTTCATGTTTTGAGACGGAGTCTTGCTGTTGCCCAGGCTGGAGTGTAGCGGCGTGATCTCGGCTCCCTGCAGCCTCCGTCTCCTGGGTTCTACCGATTTCCTGCCTCAGCCTCCCAAGTAGTTGGGTTTACAAGCACGCACCACGACTACCGGCTAATTTTTGTATTTTTAGTAAAGATGGGGTTTCACCATGTTGGTCAGGCTGGTCTTGAACTCCTGACCTCGTGATCCGCCCTCCTCAGCCTCCCAAAGTGCTGAGATTACAGGCGTGAACCACTGCGCCTGGCCGTTTTTTTCTTTTTTGAGGCAGGGTCTCACTCTGTCACCCAGACTGGAATACAGTGGCATGATCTCAACTAACTGCAACCTCCACCTCCCAGGCTCTGGCGATTCTCCTGCCTCAGCCTCTTGAGTAGCTGGGATTACAGACATGCGGCACTACTGCCCAACTATTTGTGTGTGTGTGTGTGTGTGTGTGTGTGTGTGTGTGCGCGCGCGTGTGTGTGTGTTTTTACTAAAGATGGGGTTTCACCATGTTGGCCAGGCTGGTCTTGAACTTCTGATCTCAGATGATCCAGCTGCCTCAGCCTCCCAAAGTGCTGGGATTACAGGTGTGAGCCACTGCACCCAGCCGAGGCTAATTTTTTCTATTTTTTTGTAGAGATGGGGTCTTGCTCTGTTGCCCACACTGATCTCAAACTCCTGGGTTCAAGCAATCTTCCTACCTCGGCCTCCCACATTGCTGGAATCACAGGCATGAGCCACTGCACCCAGCCTTCAAAATTTTTTTTTTTTTTTGAAACAAGGTCTCACCCAGAGTAGAGTGCAGTGGGGCAATCATGGCTTACTGCAGCCTTGACCTCCTGGCCTCAAGCAGTCCTCCCACCTCACCTTCCAGGTAGCTGGGACTATTGCCATATGCCACCACACCTGGCTAATTTTTGGATTTTTGTAGAGATGAAGCCTTGCCATGTTGCCCAGGCTGGGTCTTCAATTTTTTTTTTTTTTTAATAGATCGAAGCCTGTTACCCTGGTCACCCTCGCTCCCATTTTCTGGGGGCTCCCAAGGGGGCCTACTTGGAGGAAAGCATGCCTGCATAGCAGGTCCAGCATAAGGGTGTGACGCCAGGCACCTGGCCCAGACCCAGCCGCAGCGATCCCCGCGTGTGACTGAACGAACAAATTCTTGGCCCTCACTACGTTGTCAGCCACAGGCTCGGCCGGTGGCTTGTGGAAAGCCGTTTGTTGCCCCCCCAAAGATGTGGGCAGAGGTTGTTTGTTTGCCTGTTGTCCCTCCTGTCCCCATCCCGGCTTGGGGGGGACATCCGTCTTCCTTTTACTCATGACTATAGGGGTGTAATCTGTGTCTTGATCTCTTTTAGGGCCAGTATGGAAATTACCAGCAGTAAGGGACACGTGGCCGGAGCCCTTGTGGTAGCGTGTCCATCCAGGGGCCGGATGGGCTGGCGGCAGCTCTGGTGAATTGTGACATGTTGGTTACCCTTTCGCCCAGTGCCACGTCTGCATGTGAAACGTGCTCATTTCATGCTGGGTATGACGCCGAGCGCGCACCGCTGGCGCGAGACCGCACTTGGCAGTGTGATACTTTTGGTGCTGTGTATAGTATTGTATGTCGGTACATGGAGAGGTGCCCTTTTCTTGCCCCCCCCCGCCCCCTTCTCAATGTTTCTAGCTACTTTGGGGGTCATTTTGTCATCAGAGCATTTCTGTGTCCAGGGATGGGACGGATCTCAAGACACCGTAGTCCACCTGTTCCGATTGACAGACCTTAGGTCTCATTTCTCTCCTCATACAGTTGCTGTAACGTGGGCTGTCAACTTTAAGTGGCTATACCGCAGCTAGATACACATGCAGCCCCTGGAGAGCAGCCTCTTCCTGTGCCTCGATGGGTGGGTGGGAGGGCGTCTTCTGTGTGTTGGGTCAGTTTCTGTCATGTAACAAAAAGAAGAAACATCTCCCTCAGGAGAGGCCACACATGGCCACTTCCAGAGCTTGCTCATGGCCTGTCTCTCACCAATGCCGTTTATCCAAAAAGGTACATGTTTTCGTACTAAAAAGTGAACAGGAATCGATGACTGTATTCCAAATAAACAGGAATCCTTAAGGTCCTGGGCGATCACCTGACCCAGGGCGGGCGGTGTTGCCGAAGGAAAGAGGCGCAGCTCTCTGGGAAGTGGGCCGTCAGAGATTACTCTGACTTTGACCCTTGTTTAGCTGATGGTTATTTCCGGGATTGGAATATTTAATGTGCCCAATGCTAAATTGGTAGGTAATTTAAAATATTGACACCAGATTTTCCGAACAGTTGGCAAGTTGTTTATTTTATATTATTTCTTCCAGGACCTACTTGCTCAGATCTCCAAGCAAGCATTTCTTTTCTTTTAGGGATGTCTGAAAGTCACATCAGTAACTTTACAGTGTTCTTTCTAATGAAAAATAAAGGTTTATATAGTGAAACTTAAGTAATTTTTACATTTCTAGGATATTAAATCCCATTTCAATTCTGTGTAAACATTAAAGACAGCACGCTTGGAAAAGTATGGTCAAAGGAGAAAAGTCCTTCGCTGCCATTAATAGCTCGCATGGACATTTGATCAACCTTTACTTGGAATAATACTCCTATTTGCTATGAATCCTTTAAAAAAAAATCTTTGGGTAAATGCTGGTGAATTTCCAAGAACTACCAAGAAAATACAAAAGATACCCAGTGCTTGATATATGAGGCCTGCTAATAATGACGTTTCTCTTTAACTGATGTTTCATTTTATTCTTCATCCAGAGTTAAGTGCTTTATAATTTACAAGGCCCATATGTGTTTGGCTTGAATTAATCCTGACAGCCCCTGTGAGGAAATTTTTTTAGAGGTGAAGAACTAAGGCACAGATTAAAGGACTTGGCTGTGTCGAGTGCCAGTCCTGTTACAGGACATGCTTCCCTCGTCCATGAGACAGGTGTCACACAGAATTGGGGATAGCAGTGTTTATTTTGTAGGCATAAGGGTTTTTTAAACCCTTAACACTAGTAAGGGCTTAAAAGTAAATGTATATGTTCATATTACTGAAGAGAGTTCTTAATTGCTAATTGACAAAAGTATTAGCAATTTCAGTTAGGGAGTCTTCTCCCTTGATTTTGTTCTTTTCATGTCAATTTTCCTATAACTAATTTGCAAACTCAATCGGGGACTAAATTTCCCACTGAAAATGTTAAACATTTTAGATAACTGTGAAAATAGTTTATTTTTATTCCTTGCCAATCTGGGAATATGCCTTGTGTGTGTGTGTGTGTGTGTGTGTGTGTATATGTGTTTTTTAAGTGTTGTATTAATAATACTTTCTGAAAGAAAAGGACACTTATCCCAAAATTTCAATCTGAAATGTCTTACATTAAGAATATCTTGAATGTTGTGTATATATTTTAAAAAGCACTTTGCAAAATAGTTTGTACATTTATTTCCTAATTTATACATGATTTTTGGTGTTAATATATTTAATGATTAATAACAGAATGTTTATTTAATGTGTTGTCCATTTTTATGTAATATTGTGGGGGAAAGTGATGCCAGCAATTCCTTTTCATTAACTTATTCTATCTTCTGTCATATGAATGTTGAGAAAAGCTTAGGCTAACAGGAATTGTTCGTGAAGTGTGGTTGATGGTGCTTTGTTTTTTTCTGACTACTTCTATGGAAGGCCAGTGAAGAAGCAAAGGAAGACGTGAAACTTGATGCTCATTCTTTTTCCTGTTGGTCCCCGACATCCAGCAAATTGTGAATTTGAAAAATGATGGCCACAATTTTCAGAAGTGCTGACAAATTTCATATTGGTATCAAAAGCTCATCACCCATTAGGGTTTGTTGTTGAATCAGCAGTACTTAGCATATTAAAACAGTACATCAGAACTCAGGCTCAGAGTCTTTATGAATGGAATTAAGGCGGACAAGATCTCCTAAGATCTGAAAAGAAACCCTAGTACGCTCATCTGGTTGGAGTCTACGTGAAGCTGATTTTGTCAGGGTTTTTCTACATATAGGGGGCACCCCTTCGACACTGTACAGAGTGGAAGACTGTTTTCCATTTCCATTAAAAAATGTTTAGCCACTTCACTTCTATTATTGAACAGGTCAAATTTGTCTGGTTTGTGAGTACAGTACATTTGAGAAACATCCTGGATATCGGTTAATTTTTTTTCAGTCGGAGTTTGACGTATAAATTGTTTATGGTTTTGGTGTAATCTCTTAATAAACTGGTTCTTCAAAAATCATCCCATAAAGTGAGTTTTCATGAAGGCAATGGGATTTTGGTGTGACTTGTTTTGCAAACACTTGTCAGGTCGGTTCCGGGGCAGAGTCCCCGCGCGTCTGCGCCGGATTCCCTGCGGTCCCACTGCCTGCCCTGCGCGGCCCCGTAGCTTCCTCGGGCGAGAGCGGCGTCATCGGGCCCGGGAGGGTTCGCGGACGACCGCGGCGCCGGACGGGTCGGAGGAGCTGGGTGGCCCTGGGCGCCGGCGAGAAGCGCGGCTACAGCCGAGCGCTCTGCTGCCCTCCCGCTGGTCCTCCTGGCGACCGCTCACGGGGACGAGGTCCCCTCCGGGGTCCGGCGGCCCGTCTTCCGCACCTGCGCACTAGGGAAGCGCGGGGGCGGCCGGAACCTAGAGGCACCGGAAGGAGTCGGCAGCCTGCGACGGCCGGAAGTGACGCGCTCTCCCGAAGCGGTGAGTGAGGGCGCGGAGGGCGCGGTGGGCGCGGGGCGCGGGGCTCGGGGCCCGGGGGCGGTCGTGGCCGGGGCGTGAGGAGGGGCTCCGGCTTGGGCCGCGGGGCTCGGGGGCGCCGGGAGCGGGAGAGGCCCAGCCTAGGAGCCGAGAGGCCTGGAGGGCTGCCGGCCTGCGAACGGGCTCCCGGTCCTGCCCGGCTCTCCCGCAGAACCGCGTTTTGGGGTCGCAGGTGTTGTCGGCCACCCCGGCGCTGCTGTCACGGGGGTGGGTGCCGCGTGTGAGTTCCGAGTCAAGTTGTTTAGGAATTTGCCTTGATCCAGGGCTCGAAGTACTGAGCATTTGCCTCTGGAACGTTAAAGTGGTGATGGTAGCGTGCGCTCGCACGGGACAGCGGCAATCTGTGCGCATTTGGGTGGTAACAAGCTGTGTGTCCGAAACGCGCCTCGGGCTTCGCTGTCCGCGGGTGGCTTTTGCCCGGTGGGACGGGGTTATCCGGTCTGTTCCCGTGTTCCACTCTCGTAGCTGCAGATACCGAGGAACGGTGTTCACACACACCTGTCGATGGGAATCGGAGGGGCTCGTTGGGCAGGGTCGCTAGAGAACACTATTCTTTTGTGAAGGGGAGGACCCATGGTGAAAGGGGGACGGGAAAGAAGTCGGTTTTTTTTAACACAAGTTCCTCCTCACGCAGTTCTGTTTTAGCAGAGAGAACATAGCAAAAGTTGAGAAGCAGAAAATGGATTCCTTTGAAATTATCCTGGCCTTAGTCCCTTGGGAAGTCTGTTTTTATAAGAGCCTCAGTGGGAAGACTCCTGCTGTAAAATGCAGGTGTCACCAACAGCTGGGGGCCAGAAGACACTGTGTCACTTTGGGCAAGTGACTTAACCTCTCTCTCAGCCTCCTCTGCTTTAGATGGGCATAAAAAATGTAAAGTCAAGAATCAGTGCCGGGCACGGTGTCTCACGCCTGTAATCTCAGCACTTTGGGAGGCCGAGGCAAGTGGATCATCCTGACGTCGAGAGTTCAAGACCAGCCTGGCCAACAGGCCGAAATCCTGTCTCTAGTAAAAATACAAAATTGAGCTGGGCGTGGTGGTGGGCATGTGTAATCCTGGGTACTCGGGAGGCTGAGGTGGGTGGGTCACTTGAACCCATGAGGCGGAGGTTGCAGTGCACTGAGATCCTGCCAGTGCACTCCAGCCTGGGCAACTCCGCGCCCCCCCCCCAAAAAAAAAAAAAAAAAATATATATATATATATATATATATATATATATATACACACACACACACACATATACACACACAAATTAACTGAGCGTGGTGGTGGGTTCCTGTAATCCCAGCTTCTTGAGAGGCTGAGGCACGAGAATTGCTTGAACCCAGGAGGCAAAGGTTGCAGGTGAGGTCCTGCTGCTGCCCTCCAGCCTGAGCAACAGAGTGAGACTCTTGTCTGAAAAAAGCCCTGTCTGTGATGAGGGCAGTGTTCTCATCTGTACAGTCCCATACGGTACCCACTGTCGACATATGGCTATGAGCCACTTAGACGTGGCCTGAGGGACTGAGTTTTTACATTTTAGTTAATTTTAGCCTAATGGCCCCATGTGGCCTGTGGGTACTATACTGGACAGCTCAAGGACAGCCTTGTTAGAAGGAAAATGAAGACACGGAAGAGCAGCGCCAAGCAGTGGAATTTGCTCATCTGGCAAGGGAGGGCCACATCACTCTGCAGGTCTCCAAAGAGAAATTGAAAGGGCAAAAAGGAGGAAGCAGATGAGGCGAGATTCCGAGTTCAGGCCTCCGGTTGGCTTCGCAGCCTTCTCTGCGGTTCACCTCCTTCAGGTCCCGTGTCACCAGCGTCAGGAAGCCTGCTTTCCAGAATATCCGGGCTGGGTGGCGTAGCGTTCCAGCAGGCTGAACCCTGACTGTGCTTGTCTTGATGAGCCCGAGTTGTGTTTTTTCCCCGACCTGTTTTCATGCTCCACCCCTGACCCTTCCCATCTGATAGCTCTTGGGTGAGTCTCTGCACCTGCCTGCCTCAGTTTCCCCAACTTTAAAATGAGGATGATGAAGTATTTTCTCCACAGAGTTTTATGAGGACTAAATGAGTTCATCCCTGAAAGATACTTAGAACAATGTTTTGCAAGTAGAGAGGTGGAGGTTTTGAAGGTTTATTGTGAAATTATGCTCAGGTACTCTTTGTGTTTGGCACTACCATAAATGGGTGTTTTTCTTCATTTTAACGTACAGTTGTTTGCAGCTGAAACTTAAAAACAAAACTTTTTTTTTTTTTTTTTTTTTTGACATAAGAGTCTGGCTCTTTTGTGCAGGCTGGAGTGCAGTGGTACAATCTCAGCTCAGCGAGCCTCCACGTCCCAGGTTCAAGCCTCAGTCTCCTGAGTAGCCAGGACTACAGGCACATGCCACCACACCGGGCCAATTTTTGTATTTTTAGTAGAGACGGGGTTTCACCATTTTGGCCAGGCTGATCTGGAACTCTTGACCTCGTGATCAACCTGCTTCGGCCTTCCAAACTGCTGGGATTACAGTCTTGAGCCACCGCACCTCGCCAGGAGTGTTCTTTTATAACAAATTTAACTTTTTGAGTAGATACAGGGCTATTTTGGATTGTTTATTCTTGTGTTTCTTTAATAAGTTGCATTTTTCAAGAAATGTATTTTACTTGAGTTGTGATTGAATTTGCTGGCGGAAAGTGGTTACTCCTGTTCTCTTGTCCTTCTGCTGTCTGTAAGATGTGTTGAAAATAACCCTTTTAACATTCCTGGCAGTGGAAATCTGTGCTCTCTGGGTTTCCTGATCAGGCTAGCTAGAGGTGTGTTAGCAGGCTTGGCTTTTCAGTGAGCCTGTTTTTTGTTACATTTTAATTGTTGTCTGTCTGTTTCTTTGTTTATTTCTGCTCTGTATTATTCCTCTCCTCACTTTGGGCTTGCTTTGTTCTTTCTGGTGTCTTGATTTGGAGCCTTAGGTTACTGATTTTAGCTCTTTCTTCTTTAACAAGGTAACCTTTAAAGCTGTATGTTTCCTTCTCAACACTGCTGCAGCTGCAGGTCTTAAATTCTGGTGTTTTACATTTTCATTGTCATTCAGTTCAAAACATTTTCTAGGCTGCCTGCGGTGGCTCAAGCTTGTAATCCCAGCACTTTGGGAGGCCGAGGTGGGTGGATCACGAGGTGGAGAGATCGAGACCATCCTGGTCAACATGGTGAAACCCCGTCTCTACTAAAAATACAAAAAATTAGCTGGGCATGGGGCGCGTGCCTGTAATCCCAGCTACTCAGGAGGCTGAGGCAGGAGAATTGCCTGAACCCAGGAGGCGGAGGTTGCGGTGAGCCGAGATTGCGCCATTGCACTCCAGCCTGGGTAACAAGAGCAAAACTCCGTCTCAAAAAAAAAAAAAAAAAAAAATTTCTAATCTCTCTTTTTATTTCTTCTTTGACCCATGGATTATTTAGAAGAAGGTTGTTTAATTTGCAGATACTTGGGATTTTCCTAGATATTTTCTAGCTATCGACTTTCAGTTTAATTCTGGTTAGAGAATAGACCCTATGGTTGATATTTGAGGGGGACTGGTTGGAGGTTGCTCATGTCCCTGATATAAAATGGAGTATTATTTGCAGGTAAGCTGCACGCATCCTTCATACACTGTATTTTTACCCCCCAGTCAGGAGCTCTGTCACCCAGGCTGGAGTGCAGTGGTGTGATCGTGGCTCACTGCAGCCTCCACTCCTGGGCTTAAGTGATCCTCCCACCTTAACCTCCTAAGTAGCTGGTATTATAGGTGTGCACCACCATGCCCAGCTAAGTTTGTTTGTTTCTTTTTTTTTTTTTTTTTTTCTTTTTTTTTTTGGTAGAGACAAGGTCTCACTATTTTGCCCAGGCTGTTCTCAAATTCCTGGCCTCAAGTGATCCTCCCACCTTGGCCTCCCAAATTGCTGGAATTACAGGTATGAGCCACGGCACCCAGCCTTTCTGTATATATTAAATAATCTTTGGATTATTTATACTACAATAGAATATAAATGCTGTGGATACAGTTGTTGTACTTTATTTTTTTAATTTAACAAATTGTTGTATTGTTACTGTTTTTTTTGTACGGATACTCTCTACCTGAGGTTTGTTGACTGCACAGATGTGGAGGGCTGACTGTGCATGACTTCTTTCAGTGTATTGAGACTTCTTTTGTGATGCATCTTACGCTCTGTTTTGGTGAATGTTCCACATGCACCGGAAGGTAGTGTATGTTTTACCGTTGTTGGATGTACCATTATATAAATGTCAACCTGATAAATATTTTGATAGTATTGTTTAGATTTGATGTCTTTACTGTCTTTATTTTTCTGTTTTTAGACAATGGGTCTCAGGGCAGTTGTGGTGGCTCATGCTTGTAATCTCAGCACTTTGGGAGGCCAAAACAGAAGGATCACTTGAGCCCAGGAATTTGAAACCAGCTTAGGTAACAGGGAAACCCCATCTCTGCAAAAATCTTTTAAAAAATGTGTCCAGCACAGTGGCGCTTACCTGTAGTTCCAGCTACTCACCTGTAGTCCCAGCTAGTCACCTGTAGTCCCAGCTACTCAGGAGACTGAGGCAAGAGGATCGCTTTAGTACAGGAGGTCAAGGCTGTAAGGAGCTGTGATTACATCACTGCACTCCAGTTTGAGTGACAGAGTGACACCCTGTCTTAAAAAAAAAAAAAAAAGAAAGATAGGGTCTCATTCTCTCATTCTGTTGCTCAGGCTGGAATGCAGCTTTGAATTCATAGGCTCAAGCAATCCTCCCGCCTTAGCCTCCCAAGTAGCTAGGACCACAGGGGTGCACCACCAGGCCCAGCTAATTTTTTTTCTTTTGGTAGAAATGAGGTTCTTGCTGTTTTGCCCAGGTTGGTCTCAAACTTGTGGCTTCAAGAGATCCTCCCACCTTGGCCTCCCTCAGTGCTGAGATTACAGCCAGGAACCAGCGGGCTCTTTTTAACCCACTTTGTCAATCTCTGCCTTTCACTTCGAATCTCTGAACATAGCGTTTAACGAAGCTGCTTACACGGTGGGATTTAGGTGCACCTTTAGTGTTGCTTCCTGTGTGTCCCCTCGAGTTTCTGTTCTTTTGTTCTTTTTCTTCTGAATTGTTGGGATAGTTCTTAGCATCTCATGTATCTGTGGGCTTTTCGGATCTGTGTCTTGGTATTGTGTGTTAGTAATTGCTCTGGAGCTTCCAGTCTGCACACCTAGCCTTCACTGTCTGCTTAGAGTTAATGCTGTACCCATCCCAGAGACGGGGGACCTTGCTGTCACCTGGGTCCCTTTAATCCCTTGCTGACCTTTTCGTTGTGCCGTCACGTGTGTGACCTCTGTACGCAGTGGAAGCCCACGAGACGGCATTCTTCTGTCTGCAGTCGCACATGCTTAGAACTCTTCAGAGGGAAGCGGCGGCGCCATTTACTGTTTCTGTCGCTTTCCCTTCCCCGCTCAGGATCCAGGCTTCCCTCCGGTATCATTTTCCTGCAACCTGAGGAACTTCCTTGGGCATTCCTTATACAGCAGGGATATTAGTGATGAACTGTCTTTGTTTTGTACCACCTGACAAACTTTATTTCACCCTCCTTTCTGAAAGATACTTTCCCTAGGTATAGAATGCCTCAGTACCTTTTTTCTTCACGCACTTGAAAATAACCACCTGCTGTTAAAAGCAGCGTGGATCCTGGCCTGAATCCCGGAAGATAAGAAGGGTGCTCTTGGGAAGCCGCTGAGCCCCGAGCCCCACCTGGCACTCAGCAGCAGTGCACCAGCAGTGGTCTCACAGGCGCGGCGGGCACACAGGCGCGGCTGCTGGGGACACTGGGGAGAAGGCCCACGGGGATGCCTTTGCACCTTGTCCACAAATCTAAACTCATCTCAAAATCAGTGGTCCTTTAAAATATATTCACAGGAAGGGTAACAAGGGGAGGTGGCCCACAGAGAGGTGGCCCAGCATGGCGGCTCGGTCAGTTGGGGAACGAGAGCACCTGTGTGGAGCAGGGAGGTGGCGCTGAGGGCAGATCACAGTAGGGCTTGAGTAGCTCCACACGTGTCTTAAAGAGCATGGAGGCCCAGTTTCTTATAGGCAGAGAATGGAGTGACCAGGACCACAAGAGAAAATTAGAATGACCCCAGAGTGCTGAACTGGGAACAAGGACGTCCTGCGGTCCAGCAGTCAGGAGAGGCTGAGGAACCTTCCAGCCCAAAGAGCCGGAGGAGGCGGCGGCTGCAGGCAGCGGGGATTGGGACGCACTCTCCTTCGGGGACCGGGGCTCCTGTGGGAGCGCCTGAGGAGGGGCTGTTGGTCATGGCCGGTCTCGGGCAAACACACATGGAGTGTCCTGGGTGCAGGGAAGTCTGGTCAGCGACTGACTCAAATGATTAGGAGAAAGTTCTTTGGATTCTTCCAACTTTTCTGTAACTGTGATTGTGTCAGAATTAAAGCAGAATAGCCAAGGACCCCATAGAGGGAGTGACCGCCCCCCCGAAAGGAGGTGACCCCTTCTCAGAGGAGCAAGGCCGTGTCCCCTCGTGTTCCCACACTGGCCTCGTGGCGTTTTCTGCCGAGCGCCAGGGGCCCTTTCTGTACACGCCTCTCATACTCAGGATGGGGAGCGCCTTGTGAGGCTCTTCCTGTGGGACCTGCTGAAGAATGGGGGGCTCGGGGAGCAGGCGGTGTTTCTGCTCGCGGTGAAGGGAGTAGGGCTGTCCTCTGCTAGAAGGCAGGGTCGCCAGCTTCCTCACTGTGCCCTTGGCACCTGCAGGGTAGCCAGCTGCCATGAGTGGCTGAATGCACGAGTGACCGCTGAAATGAGGCTTCGAGAGTGACAGCAACTGGCACTTAGAGTCTGCAGCTGTGCCAGCCCTGTCGCTGTGGGGATCTCTTTCCACCCACACCACCATCAGGCACCAAAACTGTGGATTTTCCACACCAACAATTCACCAGACACCACCAGGCACCCTATAATTCACCAGTCCCCTCCAGACACTGCCGGGCACCCTACGATTCACCAGTCCCCTCCAGACACCGCCGGGCACCCTACCATTCACCAGTCCCCTCCAGACACCGCCGGGCACCCTACAATACACCAGACACCGCTGGGCACCCTACAATTCACCAGTCCCCTACAGACACCGCCGGGCACCCTATAATTCAGTTCAGTCTGACCCTGCCGTGGTTATCACGGACCCCAGGGTTAGGGGCTCAATCACACCAAAACACCTCCCACTTCAGATGCTAATTGCAGGGCACCCACACTCTGTCCGTCTTGGCTGTACATTGGGGGTTTCTGCAACCCCTTCAGGATTGATAATTTGCTGTAGTGGCTCACAGAACTAAGGAAGGCAGTTGGTTTGCATTGCCAGTTTACTATAGAGGATGCCACAGGAGGCAGAGGTAGGCAGCTGGGTGAGGAGAGGCACAGCGAGGCCTAGAGGTCCTGAGCACAGGAGCCTTTGTCCCTGGGAAGTTGTGTGTCTGCCCTCACAGCACAGGATGTGTTCACCAAACCGAAAGCTTTCCAGGGCCCCTCGTTGAAGGATTTCCATGGAGGCCTCATCATGGAGACATGATCACTTACGAACTCAGCCTCCAGCCCCTCTCCCCTTCTGGGAGGGTGGGGGTGGGGCTGAAAGGTCCAGGCTTCTCATCGTGTTTCGGTCTTTATGATGACCAGCCCTGTCCCAAGGCCATGCAGGAGCCCACCAAGAGGTGCCTCATTAAAACAGAAGACTATCCTGTCACTTGGGAAGTCCAAGGGATTTAGGAGCTCTGTGTCAGGCACTCCTGTCACCCACATCACTCAGGAAATTACCAGTGTTCTGAGCACTGTGTCAGGAGCCAGGGGCAGAGGCCAAGTGTCTGCTTCTCATTCTGTCAGTGCGACCGCGAGGGCCACTGTGGTCTAGCCGTGTGGATCAACTCAGCCCGTCCTCACCCCCAGCCCTGTCCTTACAGCTCCGCATTCTGAGTGTCCTTACAGCTGAGGAGGCTGAGGCCACACAGGTGCGTGGCCACCCCTGAGACTTGGTTTCCAGAGCCTGGATGCTTAGCTGCTATGACCCATGTTTAATGTTTTTGTTGTGTTCCAATTTAACAACTTTGAAATTGCACAAGATTACCCACTTAATAATATTCGAATAAATGGGTGTCTTCGTTTTCAAGAAATTTTGTCTTGCAGTTCAGATTTCCTTTTTAATATTTTTGTTGAGCGGATACTTGATATTCCGTAAGAGGGCATGTCTAGTGTTGTGGGTGATGTAATGTTTTAAATCCTTTGTACAGAAAGTCTGCTCCCGAGTCACAGACTGGCTGACCGGGTCAGGGCAGAGAAGGTGATGCCCAGCAAAGTCAGATTTGTCAGTTCTTGTTTGTTTCAGAAACAGGCGTTGAGACCTGCGGCGCGGGGCCCTCCTCTTTAGTTTCTGTTGCATGCCCAGGATTCAACCAAGTATCTCATTTTGCCAATCTGACTTCTGCAGGGGCCATGACACCTGCGAGGCTTTTCTCAGCAAGATCGAGGACCATGTTTGAGGGCCTGGGGCACTGGGCTTTGTCCACGCAGGCTGGCCTCAAGCCCAGCCGGCTACCGCCACGGCAGCTTTCTCCCAGGCTGCTCTCAGTCGGCCGTATGGACCACGCCAAGCATCAGGAGCTCCCGGGGAAGAAGCCGCTCTCTGAGAAAAAGCTGGTGAGACTTCTGAAGTTAGAGGCTCCAAGTCTGCATGTGGGAGCAGCAGCTTGCCTGTCTACCCCCCAGAAGGCACAGGGTGTGGTGTTGGGTCCTCCTCTTGATCTCATCTCTGTTGATGATAGTTGATGATGTTACTGATGGGGGCACATGGAGCTTCTTGAAAATGATGGGGTGAAATGCAGGCCTGTGTGATAGGTCCCACGCTCAGCAAATCCCAGCAGGCTGGGAGAGGCGCTGGGTGCTTGGAGAGCCGTGGTATAGGCTGTTCATTTTACCATGAGCCTGGGTATCTTACATGTATATTACATATATCCTTTAATATATGTGGCTATTTCTTAATTTAAAACCTATCAGGGTGCCAGGTGCGGTGGCTCATGCCTGTAATCTCAACCCTTTGGGAAGCTGAGGCCGGGGCGGATCACATGAGACCAACCTGGCCAACGTGGTGAAACCCCATCTCTACTAAAAATTAATAAAATAACAAACGGAGGACATAGACTTCCTGTTTCATGGCTCTTTAAGCCTTACAAGTTTTTCTTGTTCTGTTTACCAAAACCTCGTATTTGAAACATGATTCTCTCTCATAAATTCAAGAAAATACAAGTTTATGACTTACTTCATGCCTCCTGAATGGAGGGGCTACAGATAAGCGTCACTGGGGCAAACAGCACTTCAGGGGAGAAGCCGCCGTGGCGGGAAGTGTGCTGGCGTCGCGGAAGTGTCCACACAGGCCTGCCTCCTCCCCAGAAGAGAAGGCCCGTCTAGGCGTGGCCCTCCCTGTCTGGTGGACGTGACACTTTGAGATTTGGAAATAGCAGTTCATGGTTTTTCCACATGGTGGTGCCAAAGAATCTGAAAATGTTTCTGTGTTTGCTTTTAAAAGAAAAAAAAAGCTGGATTTGAGGAGTATTGGATGGGAGTGCAGAAACAGCGGGCCTGGCGCTGTTGGGCGTGATGCGTCTGCGCACGTGGCAGAAGCCAGGCGTCCGCCCCAGGATGTGGTGCGGCTGCAGCACCGGGGGCCGAGGGAGCTGCCCCTTCTGTGGTCGGAGCTGCTGTGTAGTGAACAGTAACCTGGTTAGTTCCGTCCTTCAACCAGACTGCGCTGACCTCAGTGAGTGCACGATCAGCTTTCCCTCCAGCAGGGAGCTCTGTTGGCATCACCGGGTTTTTGCAGTGAGCCTTGTTTGCTTCCGGCCCCAGAAAATACTCTGTTCAGAGTCGAAAGCCTGGCAATTGTGCAGGAACCACTTTAACTCCATTTTCCTGCCGCATCCTGGGAAATTAGAACTTTCTGAGAGCAAGGTTCTACTATTTCAGGAATCGTTTTTTTGGAATGGAAAGACACATTATTTAACGAATATTTCATAAACAAGATGTGAGTGTTTTAGGTTAGAAATGCTAGTTTGGGGTTTGTTTTTAAATCAATCTCACCCAGAATAAGAAGTGCTGAATTTTTTGAAGCGTGGGTCCATATAGAATACTTCCATCTGCATCGTGGACTTACCCCTGTCTACAAATGCTGCTGACCTGTGGGAGCTGTTTTCTCTTTGAATTTTAGAAGAGATGAGCCATGTGAGTGTCATTAACCTCGAATTTTAATAGGCTGTCCCAGATGGAAGTACATCTCAAATGGATGTGTGGTCTCTTGAAAGGCCGTCAAGTGCTGAGATGACGTGGGATGCTTTGCTCTCTGTAGAAAAGGTATTTTGTGGACTCTCGGAGAGTGCTTGTCTGTGGAGGAAACGGAGGCGCCGGGGCAAGCTGCTTCCACAGTGAGCCCCGCAAGGAGTTTGGAGGCCCCGATGGAGGGGACGGAGGCAACGGCGGGCATGTCATTCTGAGAGGCAGGTGCCCTGGGGTGGCATGGGCGGAGGTGGGGAGGCGCCCTGAGTCTGCATGTGCATTTGAACTAAAAACCTGATGTATGGGCAGGTGCAGTGGCTCATGCCTCTCTCTGATCCCAGCACTTTGGGAGGCCACGGCAGGGGGATCACTTGAGCCCAGAAGTTCGAGACCAGCCTGGGCAAAAACAAATTATTTTTTTGGTCTGAAGATCTGTGGATCCACAAAAAATTTTTGAAAAAATTAGCCAGACATGGTGGCATGTGCCTGTGGTCCCAGCTACTCCAGGAGGATTACTTGAGCCCAGCAGTTCAAGGCTGCAGTGAGTCTTGATCATACCCCGGCACCCAGTGTGGGTGACAGAGTGATAACCCTGTCTCTAAAAAATAAAAGTAAAATGTTTAAAACCCAGCTAGGTGCAGTGGCTCCTGCCTGTAATCCTAGCATTTTGGGAGGCTGAGGATCACTTGAGCCCAGGGGTTTGAGACAAGCCTAGGCAACACAGTGAGACCCTGTCTCTTAAAAAAAAATAAATAACCAGATGTGGCATACACCTGTAGTCCCAGCTACCCGGGGTTGAGGCACGGAGATCGCTTGAGCCCAGGAGGCGGAGGCTGCAGTGAGCTCCGATGGTGCCGCCGCACTCCATGCTGGCCGACGGGGAGACCCTGTCTTAAGAAAACCAAAAGCCCTGATGTATGGATGTCATTTTTATAAAATACATGGATGTTCATAAACAGCACGCACAAAAAAGCAGCTTCCAGTGTGTTTTGTCTTGTTTTTTAATTTCAGGAGTAAAGAGTGTTTCCGGTCAGGGCCCTGACGTGCTGGCCGTGTGAAAGCACAAGCCTGTGCCCCGGCGGGTGCTGCCGGGTGCTGGTGTCATTCCCACTCGCTCAGCACAAACGCGCGGCGAGCTGGGAGCAAGGCGTTCACAACAGAATCATAGAATGTCGCTACTTTAAAATATGAGTAATTTAAAAATGTTCAGAAATGACAGGACTTTTGGAAGGAAAATAAGTTCACTTTTTTAAAAAAGTCATGCTCTGGTTTTGTGACTTCTGCTGCAGCCTCACTCCATGCTTCCATACGCATTTTTAAGGTTCTTAAAAGGATCACAGAGGTGTCAGCAGTAGGCCATGGCTGTCTTAAAGGGACTGAGACTCTTGTTCTCACTTCAGTTGATCAGCGAGTCAAGTCCCTGTCATCGGTCCTGTCGAGGTACCAGGGATTCAATGGAGAAGATGGTGGCAGTAAAAACTGCTTCGGGCGCAGTGGCGCCGTCCTCTATATCCAGGTGAGCCGAAGCTGCCAGGGCTGGCCCCGTCCCTGTTGTTCCAGATCATTCGGCTCCTGGGGCCACCCAGGAGACCCCCTGTGACTTGATGCCCACGGCCAGGAAACAGCGCAGTGCAAATGGAGGCTGCAGACCACGGGAAAGCAGCCCCGCCCCCAAAGCAAACCCCAGACAGGCATTTGTACCAGGGTCACGCGATACGCATGTTTTACCGAGTAAAAAACTCATGAAATGATTCTCTTAGAAATCCGGAGCCCACAGCATCCACACTCGCTCCATCTCTGGCGCCATGAGCCACCCTCTGAGGAGGCCACTGCCACCCAGCGGGCCCGGCATCTCCTTGCCAGTGGAGTTCACTCTTCTCTTAGATTAGCAGTTTTGTTCCGGTTGCTTCTGTTCACCCTAATGTTTTGGAGACACTGGAAAAGCCCTTTGTGCACTTAGAAGACTGTGTACCCAGCCCCATGAAATCCCTGGAGCACTGGGACCTTTTTCTTGTGTTCCGGGGCTGTCAGCGGAGGTGAGTGGGGTGGGGCTGCACCATACCGTTCCTAAACTGGCAGCCGCTGCGGGCACAGTCCGCTCTTGTCTTCTTCCCTTAGTGCTTGCTTCAGGGGACTTACGATCGCCTCTCCTCACTGCTCATACAGCTCAGCTGATGAGCGCCTGTTGTTTTCCAGGTCCCCGTGGGCACGCTGGTGAAGGAGGGAAACAGAGTTGTGGCCGACCTGGCTCACCAGGGTGACGAGTACATCGCCGCACTGGGCGGGGCGGGAGGGAAAGGCAACCGCTTCTTCCTGGCCAACGACAACCGTGCCCCTGTGACCTGTACTCCTGGACAGCCAGGACAGCAGCGGGTTCTCCACCTGGAGCTGAAGACGGTGGCCCACGCCGGGATGGTAAGTGTCCCCTCTGCCAACAGCATCTGTACACATCGAACTCTAGAAAGTCCCTGTTCTCCATGGGGTTTGCCAGCGGCCAAGAAGTGAACAGCTTTGCGACTCACCGTTTTCCCACGAGTCCAGTGCTGATGTGGTCGCAGGCATGAGCCCTGTGGATCCCACAGTCCTGAAATTCTCCCACCGATCGAGTTAGTTACAGACCGAGCTAACACAGGTGCCCCCGAGGGCCATGCCACCATCTTCCCTCTCTCCCCCAGGTGGGATTCCCCAACGCTGGGAAATCCTCGCTTCTCCGGGCCCTTTCAAACGCCAGACCCGCCGTGGCCGCCTACCCATTCACCACCCTGAAGCCTCACGTCGGGATCGTCCACTACGAAGGCCACCAACAAATAGCAGGTAGGACTTCCAGAAATCTCTCACAGATTAGACTTGAATGATGTAATTCAGAAAAATAATCATGTAGCTCTTAAATTTAGCTTTCCATTTAAAATGTAGCATAGTTTTTCCTGATTTAAACCATTTTTTTTTTTTTTTTTTTTTTTGAAATGGAGTCTCACTCTGTCACCCAGGCTGGAGTGCAGTGGCATGATCTCAGCTCACTGCAACCTTCACCTCCTGTGTTCAAGCGATTCTCCTGCCTCAGCCTCCTGAGTAGCTGGGACTACAGGCATGTGCCGTCACGCCCAGTTAATTTTTTTCTATTTTTAGTTGAGACGGGGTTTCACTGTGTTGGCCCGGCTGGTCTCCCGACTCCTGATCTCAAGCGATCTGCCCACCTCAGCCTCCCAAAGTGCTGGGATTACAGGCATGAGCCACTGGGCCTGGCTCTAATTTATACAATTTTAATCAGCCTGTTCTCTATGAAATTAGGTTCCCACCACATCCCCCCAGGAATCTGTCAGTTACGGTTTAGAAATCTTGAGTTGAAATTTCAGCCTGAGGACATTATTTCTTCCCACCGCATTCGTCCCTCACTTTGGTCTGTGGAAGTTCAGCACCCTCACAGCGTGTGGCTTGAAAGCTCCTTGTGCCGTTTGAAAAATAAAACTTTTTCCCAGAAAACAATGTACCCATTAAAAATAGTAAGCCTGCTAGTGAGGTGATTCGTACAGCACTTTATATCTGCAGAGTACTCTCTCATAATTTCTGTCAGTAATCAAATTATTAGTAGAGTGCAGGAAGCCGTTTTCCCTTTTTTGAATCCCATTTGAAGCCAGAAAGGTGAGGCATTTAGTGTCCCCTGCTAGACAGATCCATCACCATGCCGGTCTCCCGGTTATCACAGAGCATGCAATTCCTTGGCTGGAAGTTAGTCTAGTGAATCACCCGGCTGATCAGATGGCCTCAGTTCAAGCCGTTCCTTGAAAGGAAAGTGTTAGAACTCAAGAAGTCCAGCCTCCGCAGTGGGCTCCAGGCCTTGCCTCCCAGACTCGAGGTGGGAGGCGCGCTTGGTGCTGGGTGGGACCAGTGGTGACCCTGTGTGCCCGTCTTCCCTGCAGTGGCCGACATCCCCGGCCTCATACGAGGCGCGCACCGGAACAGGGGCCTGGGGTCTGCTTTCCTCAGGCACATTGAGCGCTGCCGCTTTCTCTTGTTCGTGGTGGATCTTTCTCTGCCTGAGCCGTGGACTCAAGTGGACGATTTAAAATACGAACTGGAGATGTATGAAGAGGGCCTGTCTGAGCGGCCCCACGCAATCGTTGCAAATAAGATTGACCTCCCTGAAGCCCGAGCCAATCTGTCCCAGCTCCGGGATCACTTGGGGCAGGAGGTCATCGCACTGTCAGCGGTGACCGGTGAGAACCTGGAGCAGCTGCTGCTGCACCTGAAGGTGCTGTATGACGCCTACCTGGAGGCCGAGCGGGGCCAGGGCCACGAGCCTCTCAGGTGGTAGCTGCGGCAGAGCGGGTGACTTCTGGGCCTCTGGCCGAGCAAACGCGGGTGTGAACTCGGTGGCTTCGAATGCATAAACAAAGTGCCTTGTGGACACGGCGGAGTTGTGGTGCTTTTAGCTCTCAGGGGCCCCACCCGCCGGCCTGGGATGCCCTCAGGTAGGGGAGCATTCTGTGCCCCTGCCCCCCGGATTTCCTGCACCTGTCAGCATGCGCCAGCCGATAGCCAGCTGACTCATCTGTGCGGATTAACACCCCTAATGAGGTGTTGGGGTGCCCACACCGCAGGGGCCCTGCTGCTGACCCGGGGCTCTGCGGCGCACGCCTGGACTCTTGGGTGAGCTCAGCAGAACTGCACAGCCAGAGCCCCAGGTCAGCGAACAGAGCGGCCTTCTCAGCATGGGCCCCTCCCGCCCGCACGGCTTGCTGCAGAGGGGACCTCTGGATCCACACTGGGGTTGGGTACGCCCCACCGTCCACAGCCCTACGGAGCCACAAGCCCGGGGCCAGTGTTGGGGAGGCTCACTACTGCACGAGTGGTGGGGACGAGGACGTGAGTCCAGGCAGAGCGGCGAGGGCAGCTGTGTGCTTTTCTCCAGCACCAGCCGTCTGAGAAGGGCAGTGAGGGCCAGCTCCTTCCTGTCCTTCCGAACGCCACCATGTGCTGGTTGGGAGCCTCAGGCTTCACGACTGAATGCACCCAATATCCGCCCAGGCTACAGGATTCCGGCTGGGCTGCTGTGTGCATGGCGAATTGTCACTAAAGGGGGTGTGGGCCAGGGAACTGTCGGCATTACTCCCAGAAGGCGACGCGGCGTGGGCAGGTATGGTGACGAGTGAAAGGGCACTCGTGCCTGCTATTGTAGGGCAGAATTTCCACTCGGCTCCATTTGTTGGGGATTGGAGGAGAACCCTTGTGCCGGGCCAGGCAGCTGCCAAGCCTTCCCTGACCCTGTGGGAGATAACGGGCCTCTTGCCCCAGTGGGACGGCCGCTGAGGGGGCCTGTTTGCCCCTTGAGGCAGCTGCATCATCTTCTGATTGCAGAGGGCCCACAGGACAAGGACAGCTGAGCTGCTGGCAGCCTGCCTGTCTCCCAGAAGCCCCCAAGTCTCATGTCTCTCACATATCCCTGAGGGTCCCTAAGAAAGAAAGTGGAGGGAACACTTGGGAGGCTGGGGTGGGAGGATCACATGAGCCTGGAAGGTCGAGGCTGCAGTGAGCTGGGATTGCACCACTGTACTCCAGCCTGAGTGACAGGGCAGGACCTTGTCTCAAAAAATAAAGTGGAGGGACAAAAAAGCAGAGAAGTGTGACCAGAGGGGGACCCTTGGCCCTTACGGGAGAGACAACGCCACACTGTGGGAAATGTGCGCTGGGGTGGGGCGTCCCTGGCACACTAGGCGGGCTTTCTGGAGCAATTCTCTTTTGATCTCACCTCAAATCTGCAGCGAGAACATGACAGTCCTTTTACCCGAAGCTTTATTTTAATGTCTTATAATTTCAAAGGTCCTCTATCCTAGAACCCGGAGACAGGATTTGCATCTAGTTGCTTTTCCTTTCAGGCCACTACAAAGGGTTTTGTGGAATCAACCCAGGCCAGAGAGCCGTAATTATCCCTGGCTTTCATCTAGGTGCTCTTATGGGGGAGGCTCAAGACGCCTCGTGGTGCCCCCTGCACTAAGTCCCCAGCCCAGGAAACCTTTATCTGGGCCTGACTCAGGCTGCCCAGAGGTCAGGCAATCGCCTTTTACTGAAGCTGGGGCTCCAGAGGAGAAGTCACCATGAGCCAGGTTGCCCAGAAATTTCCTTGCTGCAAAAAGCCCCAAGACTTCTCCCTGCCACACACAGAGCTTTTGCAGTCCAGTCCTAAAAGCTGACACGTTTCTCTCTAACACTGTTCTCACTGCAGAGGGGAACCCCACACCTTTCTCTCTAACTCTGTTCTCACTGGGATGGAGGGGAGAACGCTACACCTTTCTCTCTAACACTGTTGTCACTGGGGAGAAACTTCACACCTTTCCCTCTAACACTGTTCTCACTGCGGGGGCGGGGGGGGGTGGGATTCCACACCTTTTCTCTCTAACACTGTTCTAACTGGGGTGGGGGGGAGAACTCCACACCTTTCTAACACTGTTCTCACTGGGGTGGGGGGGGAACTCCACACCTTTCTCTCTTAACACTGTTCTCAGTGAGGGTGTTAAATGACCCGTGGGTTTCACTAGTTTGTGTCTTCCTGTCTAGAAATTTTGCCCTTCTGCTTTCAAATGGGATATATAATCCACATCCCATAAAGTTTTTCACTTTATGTAATTCAGTGATTTTTCGTACGTTCTTAAGGTTGTGCAGCCGTCACTCCTAATTCCTGAAAGTTTTCTTCACCTCCGACCAGACAGTGTCCCACTTAGCATGAACCCTCCTGTCCCCTCTCTGCGCACCCACCTGTCTACCTTCTGTCCTTAGGGACCTGCCTTCCAGACAGATTCTTGAGTCGGAGTGTACACTACCTGGCTGTCTGGGGGGCACTTTAGCAGCCATGCCTGGGGCGGTTAATGCCGCTGTCCTGCATTAGAGAAGGGACTGCAGGTGCAGCCCGCCCCCGACAGTCGGCATGTTTGGGCTGCCTGGGCTGCTCCTACGCATTGACTCCGTGTGTCCCAGCAGCCTCGGTCACTGCTGGCAGGTGCACAGAGGGTGGCAATGGCACCAGGAGCCTTTAGGCTGCTCCTAGTTTGAAACTATTTTTATTTATTTATTTATTTTATTATTTTGAGACTGAGTCTCATTCTGCTGCCCAGGCTGGAGTGCAGTGGCACAGTGTCGGCTCACTGCAACCTCTGCCTCCCAGGTTCAAGCAATTCTCCTGCCTCAGCCTCCCGAGTAGCTAGGATTACAGGTGTGCACCACCCTGCCCAACTAATTTTTATATTTTTGGTAGAGATGGGGTTTCTCCATGTTGGCCAGGCTAGGCTCGATCTCCTGACCTCAGGTCATTCACCCTCCTAAGCCTCCCAAAGTGCTGGGATTCCAGGTGTTAGCCACTGCTCCTGGCCCTGAAACTATTTTTAAAAGGCAGTGGCACTGAGAGACTTGTTCTGACGGAGGGTCCCCAGTAATTAAGGTTGAATCTGTCAGCTCCTCTCCCCAAATTCCAACTGTGCCAGCCCTACCTCTTGCTGTTTCTGCAAGAATTGATCTCTTTCTGCAAGCCATTCAGCCCCTCCCCTTTAGTCAGCTGGGGCGTTGTCTGTTGACATCTTGCTGCAGTGGACAAGGACGTGGCTGTGTCCTGCCTGGCCCCTCACTTTCCTTGGGCTCCTGTCTGCGCTGTGTGGATTCGCCTCAGTTCCTCTGCCCCAGGGTGTTTCTGGTCTCTGGTGCCTGGTGACATTTTCCAGTGTCCCCGGCTTCCTCTTTCCTGGAGGCTTGGATATGAGCGAGGAGGGGTCTGCCCTGAGCGTCCCCTGTCGAAGCCCACCTCTGTGACAGTGCTGTGGGAAAACGTAGCATTTCCGTTTGAAAATAGTTTTGTCTGTTCCTTATCAGTTTCCTGGGCTGCTATGACAAATGCCACAAACTGGGTGACTTAAAAACAGTAGAAGTTGGCCAGGTGTGGTGGCTTATGCTTATCATGCAATACTGTGGGAGGCCGAGGCTGGTGGATCACCTGGGGTCAGGAGTGTGGGACCAGCCTGGCCAACATGGTGAGACCCCCATCTCTATTAAAAAATACAAAAATTAGCCGGGCGTGGTGGTGCACACCTGTAGTCCCAGCTACCCGGGAGGCTGAGGCAGAAGAATTGTTTGAAGCCCTGATCACTTAGCCAAGATCGCGCCGCTGCACTCCAGCCTGGGCGACAAAATGAGACCCTGTCTCAGAAAAAAAGAAAAGAAAAGCTACGTGGATTCTGGTATAGGCAGGGCACGAGGCCTCAAGGCCTCATCCTCAGCTGGCAGGTGGCAGGGCTCCCGTGCCTGCGCCGTCCCGAGTGACTTCCCCCGTGTGCCTGTGTCCTCTGACCTCTGTGGATGCCGGCTGCAGGATTTGGATGGTTCCATCTTGAGACTTGTGGTTACGTTTGCACAGACCCCGTTTCTAATAATGATATTCTGGGGTTCTGTGGATATGGATTTCAGGGCACATTGTTTGACCCCAAGCAGCATCCCTTTCCGTCTTTTTTTTTTTTTTTTTTTTTTTTTTTTGGTGGAGAGGGCAGAGTCTCACTCTGTCACACAGGCTGGAGTGCCGTGGTGATTTCGGCTCATTGCAACCTCTGCCTCCCAGGTTGAAACGATTCTTCTGCCTCAGCCTCCTGAGTAGCTGGGATTACAGGCATGTGTCACCACACCTGGCTAACTTTTCCATTTTTAGTAGAGACGGGGTTTTGCCATGTTGTCCAGGCTGATCTTGAGCTCCTGAGCTCAGGTGGTCCGCCTGCCTTGGCCTCCCACTGGTGCTGGGATTGCAGGCGTGAGCCTCCGCGCCCGGCCTCCCTTCCCTCTGGCCATGGCATGTGCTGTGCTGAGTTCAGCCTCACTCGGAGCCTTGGCCTGAGGTAGCTCTGCCCTCGGGTCCACCCCAGGTCCCGCAGGCCTGTCGCCTCCACCCCTGCTTTGGACAATGGTGGTGGCCTGCCAACGGCTCCTCCGCTTGGGGCCTGGGCCCCATAGTCTTCCCACGTGGCTGCACCAGGGAGCCAGGCCCCTCACTGGGAGTGCCACCACCCACTCCTGTGTCTTGGCCATGTTGGGCCGCTCCCTAGACTGCAGGCTTCTGTGTTGCTGATCCGTGTGACCCGTGCCCTCCCCAGACACCCTGTGAAATGCCCTCTAATCACAAAGCCAAAGACAGCCTCACCCACCCAGGCTCTGCACAGCTGGGGCCACCACCCTCTCGTGTGCGCACTTTCCACACTATCCACGTTATCCACCGCCCCCCCCCCCAGTGCGGTGAGAAGAGACCTCGTTTGTCTGTGCCCAGTGCCAGGTCGGTCCTGGCCCCGGAAGGGAGGCCTGAAGGGCAGACATGCTGAGGCAACCTGAGCGTCTCATCAGTGAGCACGTGCCAGGACCCGTCTGGGTGCTGCTGAAGAGGCATGGCA